CATTCCCCCATATATGCAGAGCAGGACCAATGTATGCCGATAAAATGCATTTATGAGCCGAATGATCGTCTCTGGGACATCATCACATCCCATTACTTTCCAGAGTGCTGCTTTATAAACTGAAACGAAGATAGCTGCAAAATCGAAATATGTGACGGTAGGCTGCTGGCATTTGAAGCAATGTTCCAACATTCTTCTTAACGTGAATATCTGGTCAACATAAGCACTTCTCGGTCTAAATCCAGCTTGGTTTGTTATCCTACAATCTGATACTTCCATAAAGATATAAGTGCGATAGAAAGGAATCGGTAATTGTCGGAGTATGTCCTGTAATCTTTCTTAGAAATTGTGAGAACTATTTTGTTTCAGTCATCTGGTATTACTTCTTTCTTCTATACCAGGGATTGCATTTGTTGAAGGTGTGCTATGAAGGACGATGGGCAACATTTGAAGAATTCAGACTCGAAGACTATCTTCGCTTATACTCTTATTGCCCTTAAGCTTATGGATAACGGGGATTATTTCCTTTTCTGTTGGCTTATTTCCTCTACTCGATAAAAATTGTTGTCCATGGTAATTGTAAAGTATATCTCCATTAATCATATCAATACTCAAAATTGCTTAATTGTTCCGAAATCGACAAATAATTTGTTAAAACTTTGTTCTAATTAATTCTTATGGGGATTTTTTTACCAAATTCTTAACAAATATCTAAGCAAAAACCGCTTCCTGTTTCTCCTATGATGATGTTTGTTGGAAATTCTCTACTTGAAAAGAAGAAGAACCTTGCAGCAGAACAAGCATAACAAGAAATGATCATGACCGACTTCTTCGACTTGAGAAAGTTTTTTTGATTTTAAATACCCTGGATTCACTCTAATACCAAATGGCCAGGCGAAAGACGATATTATAACCACCCAGATCACGGTAGTTAGAAATGAGTTCTTCCTGTTGATGAAAGCTTTATGGAACCATCGTAAAATTAGCATAAAAACAAAAATCCGCATCTATATAGCCGTGATTCCTTCGATCTTGCTATATGGCTCTGAGACATAGCCAATGAAAGTAGAGAATATTAAGAAGTTATCTGCCTTTGATCACTCTTGTCTGAGGTATATTTTACGGGTCCTTCGAGCGGATAAAATATTGCATCCACCTTCGTTCAAATACCACTTGCATTAATGATACCACAGAGCGTCGCCTTCGCTGGTTAGGACACATTCTCCGTCGTCCACTACAGGATTTGACGCATATTTCATTATTTGCCAAGCCATGTGATGGGTGTGGCATCAAAAGCGAGATGGACCAATCAAGATCTGGACTGATACGATCAGAAAAGATTTCGAACGTATAGGTGGACCAGCAATATATGGATTTAGGACGATGGAAAAGGGAATGGCTTCTATTACTGTCGACATCACCGCCGCTTGGAAGCGTCTTAGCCATTGGAGCCAGCCTAAGAAGTAATGGTGGGAGCTGTTAGAAAAAGAAGAAATCTCTATTTAAAATAAATATTTCTTCTTATCACCAAACTCCAATTTTGATAGCCTTAACCCAAATTTTATAAAGGTATTCAATCTAAAACGACTAAAATTATATTTGATTTATTCAACTATATTTGATCTATTCAATTTCAGGTGGAAGCTGAAGGTATTATGGTGAATATTTATGCATTCACCATTTCTTTTGGTTCAGAATTATTCAGAGAATGATTGAATCTCTTTTTCTGCACCATGTAAGAATTATTTAAACTATCTAACTTCTTTTTTTTTACCATTTTAACAGAATTAAAATTTTTTTTTTGGGATTAAACGGCTGGCTGTAATACTTCCACTGAATGCAACGAATGGGATTTTTCAACAGGAGCAGACCTGGTGTTAGCAGTGAAATCCAGTACTAAATCCGAAATAATGCATGCTTAGTGGAAAAATATTTTATTGCTTGAAAATCTCCATTTTTTAAATTTTTCATTTTAATTCCTTTCATATTATTTGTTGCAATTACTTATAATGAATTTCTTTCCAATTCACCATCAGTGATCAGTGATTGTGGCGAAAGGTCCAAACGGTGTCCGCAATCGCGCATGACACCCCTAAGCGGTGGATGCGATAAATTTGCTTAATGGGTTTGGCAAGGATATTCAGAAAGAACAATATAAATATACAACATTATAAATTTCCATACTTGAGGCACTCTCACATTGAAAGAAATTAGACAAATGTCAATCGAATCTAGATGCAAAAGGCCTTGGCACAAGTTCCATAGCTGGGTGGAAGCTAGTGGATGTAGAGGACCAATCGATAACAATTCACGCTTACGTGGACATCGTTTGCTGGAAATCTATCTCTCTGATTTTGGATCCAGAGTAAGCTGCTGACAATTAATTATCACAGTGGTGCTTCGAATAACTCATGAAGGAATTGAATAGCGATTGTCCGAAATGCTTAATTGTGGGGAATTACTAATGAGACGATGGCCTATGGCCGGCAATCGTCATACATTTTTAAGTCAGATTTTGCGTCCATTTTTATCTCTGATAACAAAAGAAAAGACAGTTCAGATAGGTGAAGTTGGGTGCCTCCGTATAAAAACTTGGTGGAATCTGCACGAAAATCAACTTCAAAACATTTGGTTTGCACCAATATGACACCAAATTCTTCTATATGGTTGCGAAACGTGACTAATGAGAGTCACAAGCCATTCTTCCTATTTGAAATCAAAATCTCACATGAATGCGACACTCTGATTCCACTTGCATCAACAACATTGCCATTAAGTGTCGGCTGCTCTGGTAACGCCATATCCTCTTCCACCTAAGCAATTGAAGCACATCACCCTAAACGTCAAATCCTGATTGCCGCGAAAGCAAAAAGGCTGCTTTCGTGTCGGCCCTCTTCCATTCCTTTTGTGCTTTGCCCGTGGGGCTTTTATTCCATTCACTGAGCTATTCTCTTTCTCTTTTTTATATGCAGATTAAGTTTGTAAAAAGAAGTGTTAAGTAAAGTTTAGGAAAAGTATGATGACTTTCAGGTAATATTCATATAGAAAAATTGGTGTCCGTATTCATCTTCCACCTCCTGATTCTTTTGCGAAACCTTTCTGCTTTAGGCCAACCAGCAATAAGAACGACCTTCGTTTTGTTTTCAAAACAGAAAATATAAATTTATTCGGTCTTCTACCTTATTCTCTAGGCTATTATCATCGTACTATTCTTTTTATTTTCCATACTTCATTGGCCCTTGTCCTGTTTTCCTTTTGCTTTCTTTATGGATATTTCTCTTAAATCTTTGAATATCTTTTGTTGATTCACTCTTTGGCATGACACTAAAACAGCGAGGTACCATTCTGTTTTAGTGAAAACTATCTTATCAGCTGATCGACTGACTGATCGATGCCCAATTAGTAACATAAACTGCTGGTTCGAGTCAATTTTCCATTTTTATGACCTCATAGTAGCTTTTTCGCGACAGTGGTGGCAGATGCGTTAAAAGCAAGGAAACCCAGTAAAGATGTGGATCGATCAAGATAGATTTTAAAATATTTTATGGGTTTGACGATTTATGAATTTAAGTATATATTTATATTTTCTATATTTTTATATTATTTTTATTTTTCTATATTTTTTCACTATTCATTATTATTGGTTAGACTGGCTGCTTTGGCTTGTCACACTAGACAAATATGACAGGGAATTCCCTAGCGATAGAAGAAAAGGTGAATCACCAGCATCACACGGATTTTTGACAGGTTTGCTTTTGCCGGGAGTAGAATCTCAGTGCCGAATTGAGCAATAACTCAGTAAGCCAATCTACTTCGTTTTTAGATGATACTGCCACCTGACGAAAAGCAATATATCGGCGGATTGAAACCCAAGTCTCGATTCTCGGTGGCACTGAGCCAATGAGGTATACTTGGAAATATCTTACCCTTGGTAGTGGCCAGTAGGAAGCCAGTCAAACCAGCAGTGATATCAGATGTAGAGAAAAGTTGCTCATCACAACGCTATTTTATTTTTCATGTCTCTACTTAATTTACTTCAGAAGATTCATAAAATCATTTGTATCACTTCTCTTAGTTTATATTGCTCGATAAAGTCCATTAAACTATTATTTAATATTAATAAATACTACCTATAGTTTTAAAGCTAGCGAATGCAGAAAAGTTCCTTATTAATTCTTTATTTTGCAAGATGAGACACGCCGGATTCCATGCCGCACCGATCCTTTTTGCTATTCTAAGTTAATTACACTGGGATTTAAATGAAACTAAGAAATTTTCGCTGCAGATCTACACTAAATATCATAGCAACCATTACTATAGTAGAAATAATTTCAATTAGCTGAGTAACTGAGATTTTTCTGGAAGAATAAAGTAAAATAAAACGAAGATAATGAAGATCTTCGTTTATTTCATCCATATCTTACCATACATAATTAATTTTTCCTATTTTTACTCAGGTAACAACAACATATCTATTTTTTTCGCTAGGAGCTCATATTATTTCATTTCTAGTTAGCCTCACTTCACTGGTTTCTTGGATAGGACAAATTTTGTTAGAAGTGCAGATGAGTCGCTAGTGCCATCCGAATTTCTGAAAGACAGGTTTAATTCAATTCTGTAGAATCCCAGTATAGACACTCCGGGAATAAAAGCAAAAACTCATTGCACTTATTTCTCAATTTTTATATTTAATATTATGTATATATATATATATATATATATATATATATATCGCATTAATAGCATAAGGGCCAAGATGAGCGATTAACGGTTCGAATTAACAGTGCGGTCAATTCTCTCCACTTTTGCGGTGGGAATCCATGGGCGGGACCATCTGAAAGCTTATCAACCTTACCTCAATCAACTTGTGGTAGAAGATAAGTGGTTAAGGATGATCCATACCAACCCCGAAGGTGAAAAGAGCTTTCTATATTTATATTCGAATTTTTAAGAAAACATTTATCCATTCGCTTTTATAGAATGTCTTAAAGCTTCGGTGAATGCCGCCGTTCCTCGAAATCCATTCAGGTTATTTTATTGCTATCCTTAAATTATAACATTTAATATTTCGAAATGGTTTACTGCATAGGTAATGCAAAAATATCAACTTTCTACCAATTGTTCAGTGCTTTGTCGTTAATCTTATATAAATTTAATTTCAATAGATTTTATTTTTAGTTTATTTTGATATATTTGCCAGATATTTGACAAAATCTTTAGTTAAAGAAAAGTAAGTAGTAAACACTCACCACTTTGATTGGGCTCTTTCCACTGCCGTAAGAAATTCTTGGCGAAGGAATCAGACAAATTTCGCCACAGCAGTTGTAGATGGATGATTAGCATCACCCCGAGAATTTGGTAAGAATCACGGATTGTTTGTATAATTGCAAACTTACGGTAGAAAAATATATTCAAGTTCTCTATTTAAATGTTAGAATATGAAAATTTTATAGTTTAAGATGTAATAATTCGAAATATATTGATGGAAATTTACTATGTAATGGTGATAATGACTGTGGTGACTTATCAGATGAATGGAATGATTACTGTGGAAAAAAAGGTTCAACGAATTTTGTCGTTCATTTGCCACGAAGGTGAATTTTTTTTATTTCACATAAAATTGTTAAAATTGTCGAGAAATGTGTATGGAAGAATGACCGATGCAAGAAGGATCCATAAACTATAAGTTTGATAATGATATGTACAGTTCTTTTATACCCAACTGAACAACTTGGGTTTTTGTCCTCATTCTGGAACGCCGGTGCTGGAGTTATACTCGCAATATAAATTTGTGGTGATGCTAGCAACTCATCTACGCTTCTATCACAGGAATAATTTTCTGGCAAAATTTGTCTAATCCGATAAGCCAGCAGAAGTCGAGCATAACCAGAATGAAATAAATAACATAGTGAAGTTTTATAGTTTGATAAACTCATTAAAGTAAGACCTGGATTACTGTGCAAACCTGTTTGTGTTCCCATCATTGTCATTGAAACAAAGCTAATAAAATCGAATGTTGCTATTCATTTTTTGGTATTCATATTCCAGGAAAAAAGCACCTCAATTGGAATTGGAACCTGAAACTAATCAAGAAATTTTAAATCAAATTCTACCATATGCGCCAGAATTAAAACCAATAGTACCACTGATCGTAAAACCGATAAATCCCATCAATGAAAAAAGTGGTCTTCATTCCAGAAATACTGAACACCTTTCAACCAAAACAAATGCTATCACCAATGAAAGATGATTAAATAGACACTAATGATGAGCCTATCTACACTTCTATCCCACCGGTGACTTTGGCTACTGGAGTAGCCAGTATATCCAATCAAATTAGAAATGGTGAGGCAGTGACGGGAAAATTTCCAAAAGCTCGATATTTTAATATTGCCATCCAATAATTTGAAAAATATGTCCTTTTAAAGAAATACAAAATAATATAACCTCTTTTCTTCATATATAAATGACTCCGAGGTTTTCAATCCAATCTTTAAATTTCGAAATTTTTTGAAGGAATACGACTGTGATAACTTTTATTAACTTTTATTTAATTAATTTTCAACGTAATAATTGGTCAAAATAAATTAGTGAAAAAAAGCAAAACTAAAATCCTCCAATGCTTTTAATTTCAAATATTTAATTTTTGCCCAATCTTCACTTAAATTTGGGGATAAATTCGCTTTTCTCTGCTCTTTTATAATTTCATCCAATTTTCTTTTCGCTAGTTTTGCTACATTTTACTTTATCTAATCTATTTTAACCTAAGCGCTTATCATTTATTTACAACATATATGGTTATTTTTCGATTCACTCATTTGTCTCGCTCAGTTAATATTTCTTGGTTTTCCTGTTTTCGTGTTCAATTAAGCTGAATAAATTATTTTTTATTTTTACCGTAAATTATAAACAAAAAAAAACAATCAACAAACCAAAATTACCAATGAATTAATTGAAATCTCAGGACTGCACTTTTGAAGAGGATGAAAACTGTCCATATATTATACCTTGAAAACAAATGGGGAAAACAATGAATTAAAGCGCAAAATATTTCTAGCTCATCGGCTAACTATTCATGCTTACAGAGCCTTACAAATATATGAACCGCAGCGAAAATGGTAAATGCATATCATAGCCATTCAAGATTAACGGTTCAATTCTGTCACTCGTATTGCTTGATATTTATTAGAAGTACACATACCTCAAAATAAAATGGAGATCGCACTGAAATTATGCTAGAAAAATCATATTTATCATAGATCATATTATCAAATTTAAATGGGATTTCACTCCAAATAATATTACCAAATCCCATAAAATAAAAGAAAAAGGTCTTAAATCAGTATTATTCTAACTCAAAATGTCAATATAATAATATATTAATGCAATATTAGTATAATATATTAATATTTATGGAAGTGATAACAAATGTGGAATAATATAACTTTCAGAAGAAAAAATTCATCTATACAGCCATATCCATCTTGATTGCAGGCATAGGATTATAATTCTCAAGAATTATAGATTCCGTAGTAAATTCATCGATTGTGTTGACTTCCTTTTGAAAACGAATTGTTGGAAATCGGCGAGGCTCCCGTTTCAGCTAAAAAAATAATACCGCTAAAACTTTAAATAAGCTATTTTAATTTTTCTTGACAAATTTTTTGAAATTTTTTGAAATTAAAACTTTTAAACCCCTTCAAAACAACTAGCCACTTTAAAAGTATTTTGTCGCTTTTCTCTAATAAGAATGATAAGTATGATGAATATGAACTTATGAATGGAAAAAATCGCTCTATAAAATTACAAAATCGATAGAAATTAGCATACTTGCTCTTTTAGTGCATCAATATGATTTATGTAAACATGAGCATCACCCAAAACGTGATGCAAAAAACCCGCCTGAAATAACCAATAAATTAGTTGCAATTGTAAAATCACGATGGCTAAAACAAGCAGAGCTCAAAAAATTTCATAATTTATTCCTTTTTTTCCGGAAACAACGAGAAAAAAACGAGAAAATAACAAACCTTTAAATCGCAAACGTGTGCAATCATATGCGTTAATAGACCATAACTAGCAAGATTGAAAGGTACACCAAGTCCCTGAGAAAAATAATGAGAGGCTTTTCCTCAAAAAAAAAAAAATTTTGTACAAATGGAGAAAAAAATACCATATCACCAGATCTTTGATATAACTGACATGAAAGCTCTCCATTTCGCACGGCAAATTGTACAAGCGTGTGACAAGGTGGTAAAACCATCTTATTTAAATCTGAAAATAATTATTTAGCATTCATTTCATAAAAAAATTATTTATTCATTTCACAAAAAAAATAAGTGGAACAAGAAATATTGTGCATATGACTAAAAGGATAAGGTTATACCTCATGATTAATAGCTTATAGCTTTAACTTATACATTAATGTCAAAAATTTTTCTATTGAAATTCTTGGATAGCATGGACAATATTTTCAACCAATAAACTTTGACCTCTATAAAATTCGCAGAAATCAGCGATGTGACTTACCTCGGTCTATCCACCAGTCTATATGATTACTTTCTTCCTCCACTTTCTTCTCCCAATCATTAGGAATTCATCTCAATGACACAACAAATTCCACGAAAAATTTTAGATTAAATTTCATTCAATCATAAAAAATTGGATCTACACGCAATAATATTAATAAATTTTAATTTTCACCTTGAACATTCCATGAATTTAAAATAATTCGCCGACTATTAGGTGAATTCTTTATCTGATTGATAACATTTGAAAGTTGATCTATTCCTTGATTGCTATAATCAGTTCGCATATCTCGATATTCTGCTCCACAGTGTCGCCACTTTATAAAATTAAAACTATCAACGGAAAATCAACATTTAAAGAGGAAAAACGAAATAATAAAAAATGTGACATGGCAGAAATAAAATAACCTGAAATCCATAAATGGGCCCTAAGTCGCCCTCTTCGCGATCCGTAAAGCCAAGGCTATCAAGAAACTGTCGCGAACCATTTGCATCCCAGATTTTTACATTTTTTGCAGAAAGATTTTTTGCATTTGTATCACCACGAATAAACCAGAGTAATTCCTCGACGACTGCTTTCCAGTAAATACGTTTAGTTGTCAATAATGGAATTACACCTATAATTAAATAAAACTCATTGATCTCGTGCGCCCAGAGATTCCTCATAATCTAATAAGTCTATATATAAATCATAATCGTCATAACAGGTGACACAAGATGGTTCCCACAGCAAATTATTGATCACTCTTAATCTTAATAGTTATGGCATTACAGGGACCCTTTATAACTGGGTGTTAGATTACGTAAAAGATCGAAGCTGTATGTGTCAATAACATTCTTTCTGTCACAACACCTGTTAAATTTGGCCCCAAGGTACTGCGCCATTGCTTTTTCTATTGTATGTAAATGATATCACCAAAATGATGTTAAATTTTGCCATTTATCTTTATGCTGTAATTGTGAAATTTATTCTCATGGTAGAACAGATAGCCTATCTCCACTCTCCACTGCAGGAAGACTTCAACAGTATAGCCAGCTGGCTATATAACAGGCAAATCACCTTTTCCTTTCAAAAGTGTCTTTTCTTCATATAAACTCTAAAGTATTCAGTCTTTTTATTAACGATAATATAATCAGATGAGTCTCACACATTTCCGATTTTGGAATAATCATAGATGAAAATCTTGATTTTGACCTTCATTGCAGAATCATGGTAAAGAAATATTTAAAGATACTAAATTTTATTTTTTGTTCGTTTAAGGACAAAACTGAAGGTTTTCTTATCAAAACAAAGCGTTAGCAAAGCGTTCGTTCGACCTCTTCTTGGTTATTACCTATTACTCCCCGAGATATCGCAAATCAAGTAAAATAATTGAAGGACTTCAAAAATGTTTTATACGGAGCCTCTCTCTTAATTTTAATTATAAAAGAAAACATCTACAATATAACCTGGATTCTCTGTCAGTTCATCGTATTAAACAAAATTTAATTTATGCTTATAAGATTCTGTATGGTTATTCAATTAGATCATTCAAAATGTTATAAATTTAGGTTATATTTGAATCCAACAAGAACTAAAGGGCCAAAATTACTAAAACCTATGTGCAGAATTAAGGACTCATTCGTACGATATGACTTCTTCATTCGTACGATTAATTACTGGAATAAATTACTGAACGATATAGCTTGTGCGTCAACCTTATCTTTAAAAAATTGATTATATAATATTATTAAAAAGTTCACATCATGAAGGAAGTATGAAGTCTCGATTTTTACCATCCCATTATGTATAATACTTCGAATTGTTATATACTATTCTATTGTTCGATTGTTCTATTTTGTAATTTCCTCTTTATTTCCTCTTTCAATTGTTAATTTTTGTCATTTTTTTCTTTTTTTATCATTAATTATTATTATTTGTTATTTTACCGGTTGTTATAAATACATAAGCACATGGCGTTGTCGCCCTGCTTGGCTAATTTTTCATTAATAAATAATCCGGATACCGACAGCTAGAAATATGTTTTCCAGTTGAGGTATCCTTTATGGAACCGTCTCGAGATCACCACAAAGACGAAAACCGGAGTCCATATGGGTGCGAAACATGGCCAAAGAGAGTGGGAAACGTTAAAAAGGCATCAACCTTTAACCACTCATGTCTAAAATACATTTTACAGATCCATCGAGCGGATAAAATCGCTCATATATACTTGTATACATTTTCGCTCAAATATCATCTATATTAATAATATTATCACAATATTAAAGCGTTGCCTTCGCTGGTTAGGTCAGTTTTTCGTCGCCGACCACAGAAGTTGACGATATTTCACTAGTTGCCGAACGCTACGATGGTTGGCGTTGAAAGCGAGGAGGGCCAATCAAGACCTGGACTGACAGGGTCAGGAAAGATTTTGAACGTATAGGGGACCAGCGATACAAGGACTTGGACGATGGAAAAAGAAGTGGCTTCTGGCACTACTAGCGATGAGCTCGGACCTTGGAGACGGCTTATCCTCTTAGCCAGCGGCGCCATCCTAACCACTAATGGTGAGAGCTGTTAGAGGAAGAAGAAGAAGAGTATAACAATAAATAAAAGGAGAAGCGAAAGATAATGCAAATAAAAATGAACAAACCATTCCTAAGCGAATATGACGAGTGTAAGCCAAATAGGGACAACGTTCCAACACCTGTTCGGTCATCTATTCGATCGCCGTTCTCAATTATTCGCTCGACTTGTCGCAAATAATTTTTTTCGTCATCATTTGGCGAGGAATTTTCCTCCATTTCCTTCTCCTTTTTCTTTAATTCTTAAATTCGATGATTTTTAATTTATAATCGACTTTATTCGAATAGAGTTCATTATAATAATGTGGTTTAATTCTTTTCCCTTTTTTAACGCTCTCGACATTTTCAGTTTTACCTCGCTCGACTGCTCTATCGGATCGGACAAATTCTTCTCAGGGAGGCGATGAAAATAGCAGACGAGTCACGAGAATCGCCTCCACTTTTGAAAGGACCCGTTTCGCCACCGAAAGTGGAATTAAGGCAGTCGCGAGCAATAACTACCGAGGCATTCTGTTTGTTCCAATACTAACTAATTTCACCAAATGACCAAACACAAAAAATCAATAAATTTGTCAAAAAAGACTGCCTGTTCACTGCTAAAATGAACTGAACCCGCTCATCTATAAAAATTATAAAAGCAACAGCACAACAGTTAGCTGTTTCGCTTAATGCACTCCAGTGCACACTTCAAGAACTGATACTCGCGCACAAATGTCGGATTAGCACCAGTTCCATCGATGACCACCAGACGGAGATTGACTGACGTGGAGAAATATTTAGCTATTAAAATTAAATACGAGTTCAGCAACGATTCCTTGATATTCAGTAATTTAAATTCGTTCACGATTGGTAAAGTGGTGATAGTTGTTAAATATTTGGCAATGTCCGCTGCGCAATATTGTCTTAATGGTGGTTGCTTTGTTATCATTCCTATGGCATATCCGAATTTGCTGTTATCGATGTCCTATCATCGTCTTATCATCGTCATCTTTCTTATCATTTACGCTTTATCACCCTATCATCCCTAAATCATTAATAACTTATCGTTTTTATATTATTCTATTACTTTTTTTGCATCTAACTGCTGGTAATTTATTGTAATATGATTTTAACATATCATGAAGAGAAGTTAGTTGTTTTTAGCAAACTTTTAATCAGTAATGTGGCTGAACGGCTAAAGCATAGCTAGGTAATTCATTCTTTCTTTCCTTTCTTCCATTTATTGCTAGAGCCAAAGTTCTGTCACAGCCACCTGCAGATGGATATAGGGAAATAGTTCTCGAACTATCTCTCGGATTCCATATTTACCCTGTGAGGTAGGAATCGAACCGGTTTTGGATGGAACAGAATGGAATTAGGATAGCCGACTGCGTTAAGTATCTCAAATTAAGAATCATTAAAATTTTGCTGCTCTTTCCGATTGAAATGGATTTTCCATAAAAAATCCTGATGATGTTGGTGATCCATTTGTCGCAAATTGCGAACAGTAAACGAACAAATTCTTCGAATATATGATGCTCAGTCAGCTTGCTTGTTATGAATTCCTTCGATAATTTTTCCATGCGTTTCGTTACTATCTTGATTTAGCCGCATTCTATTTTTCTTTTTTATATACCCAAAAAAACTAATTTAGTGTGAGAAATATTTTATCTTCGTATTTCCTATTTGTTATTGCTGTAATCAGATAATTATAGTTATAATTATATATAATTATAGATTACAGATATTTATAGTTTTTTGTAATTGGTTTGTAATTAGTGTAATTAGTATAATTGGTTAATCATTCTGCATACTATTCCCATTAAAAACGCCTTTTCTTTTCTAAACGAAACTACTATATATCTGCACATAAATTCGGCTGGCTCAGTGTTGTTTTTTTTTATTTTTTGTTGATACGGAGTTGTTATTTATGGGTGCTTCCTTTTATGGTGGATTATCTTCTTTGGGCTGTTGTTTGAGATTGCTTTTGTAGCGTTTTCTTTCGACTTGGTTTTTATTTAGGTATACTTGGTTTTTTTACTTGGTGTGACAATTACCGGCTCTTTTTCCTTTTTTTGTTATTATTATTAGTTTAAATGTACATAAAATCTTTCTTTAATCGGTTGTTTATAATAGATTTAATAATTTAAGTTTGAGATCCTTCTCGGACTACTTGGGTAAAACAATAAATAGTTAGGTCATCAACTGGTAAACCGTATCCTTCCCGGAGTGCAATTTCATCTGTCCAGCATTTTGTTTTATTCGCCGTCAATTCATTCTCCCTCAAAAATCTCTCCTGAACAACAGCACTTGTTTTTCTATCGGCAAGTGATTTTTAATAATTTAAATTGGGTTTAATAGATTTTTAGATTTAAACAATGAGTGAATTGAAATTAAAGGATTTAAAAAATATGCTTACGGACAATGAACTCGATCTAAGTACACAGCAAATTACAACAATACCTGTTAAAGCTTTGGTATGTTTTTGATAACTTTTATTTTCCTTCTGGATTTTTTAGATATATCACACATTATTTAAATTTAATTAAAAAACTAAATTAAATTTAAAGTTAACTTAGAATTTAGCGTACTTAAAGTTTACTTAATGCTTAGATTAATAGGCCGAAATTCGGTTTATAAACTGTTTGTTACTGTCTGCAAAAGGGTTGGTGTATAAACTGTGAAGGTGCAATTTTTTTATTCAATTGCGAGCGTAGGTCTTTCCTATCGTTGATATTAATGAACATATTATTTAGTATTATATCAGTTTTTTTAATATTTAAAAAAGATTCGAAACAAAAACTTCTTGCGATTTTTTTGAAAAGACAACGGTAATATTGACTTGATTTTTAAATACATTTTATTTTTAAATCTGAAACATATATTTTTCTTCGACCACCATTTCTAGCTCTCTCCACTAACTACTAGGTTTAGCCATCCCCTAATCTTTAGAATCAATTCTCGAAATATCTTAGCATTTTCAAAAATACATAATAAAATAACTCTAAAAAATTTTCGAATATTCAGGAATATATTTGGCTTTTTAAATATTTTTTTACTTTTTAAATATTTAAATGAAATATTTATTTTATTTTCATTTATTTATTAGAGTTTATTGCCACGTGCGACGTGTATTGACTTCTCGAATAACAGTATAACGAAAATATCACCAGAATTTTGTCAATTAATTCATTTAACTAAATTGGATTTTGCCAAGAATAAAATTATACAACTACCAGATGATTTTGGAAAATTGATCAATTTAACTTATTTGGATTTGTATAAAAATCGGATTAAAGTTAGCTTTTGCCTTATTTGTCGTAAGCTTTGCCGTAATTTTCGTGGAATGATTTTACAGCCATTTTCATACCGCAATTACTCGTAATCGTCCAGAATTATTTTCTGCAGTTATTTTACTCCTTCATTCAGGTCTTTATGAATGAGGTCGGCAAGAAAATTTTTTACTGAAGTAGATGTTAAATCAATTTTCTTGAAAAAAAATAAAAAAATTGAAGCTTTTTATCGAAAAAATGGCATTACTTTCTAATTATTTTTTCATGTTCCTTATATTTCAGGATTTGCCTCTGTCATTTGGTAATTTACTGAATTTAAAATGGCTTGATTTGAAAGGAAACCCTCTCGAGTCAGAATTGGAAAAATTTGCCAATGAGTGTGAAGATGAAAAAGGCTACAAGAGAACTGCAGTTCGAGTTGTGCAATTAATGCAAAAACGAGCTATTGTCCAACATGAAATGGTTAATAATCAGAATGAGTTTAGAAAACGTATTTTTTCAATCATATTCAATTATTATCTATCTAAATTGCTACTGTTTGAATTACGTGTGATAAATAATAAAAAAAATAGTGTTTAAGAAATATTAAGAGGGTAATGGTATGTAAATGACGAGAAATTTTTAACAAAATAAAAAAGATATAAGGTGGTTTTGATGGATTTGTTTCATTTACTGTTTTGCTGGTATTTCGCAGTTTGAAATTGAGATACATTTCTTTCTGGAGGCTTATTCAAATGTTAAAATTAATTATTTCATAGTACCTTGTAAAAAGAAAGAAAGAAATGAAAGAAAAAGTATTTTTTATTTTAATTCTACAATATTTTGAATTTTGATATTATTTAGTGCCGCTTAAAGATATATTTTTTGATATCTTAATTCCACTGAAAATTTCATGATATATTGTCATATAATGTTGTTAATGTTGTTTATTTATCAATTTTTCAACTAATTTTAATAATCAGATAAATAGAAAGCGGTATGGTTTGGTGAGGTGCTATTAGAGTTAAGGATAAACTTCGTAAATTTCGGTAACTTTCTCCCCTCAATAGAAACCCTTCATTTATTTGGCTATAGATGGTATTGGATTTTCATTTATGCAAATTGTCGTAGTGATGAATTCTTTTTCATTCTAGTGGTCAATGGAGTGAACGAGACCAGGAAATAATACGAACGTTATAATATAATAATACTACCGTTAGAAAAAGAAGAATCAAATTAAACTATTTTCAAATTTTTACGAATTTAAAACCATATTTTTAACTATAGATTTTGTTATATAGATTTTGACAGATATAACGAATGATATTGATGAAAATGTGGATTCTAATCAGAAAACAAAGCCGAAAAAAAAGAAAAAGAAGAAAACCAAAGAAATTTTGGCATGTTTACCGAATGTCAACGTTACAGAACAGCTTCTTACTTCTGAAGAAGAAGGTTTTATCTTAAATATTTTGGTTTAAAAATTTGCCAGAAGTTTCAAAAGAAATAGATTTTTCAAATTTATTTTAGGGAAAATTGGTTATAATGATGACATTGTTATGTTATAGGGGCATTTTCTTCCAGTATCTTTCACCATTATTGGTTAAGCTTGTTCCACTAGCTGCAAGATTTCCAAGCTGTTCGACCCGATCTCATCACTGATTGCTATTTCTTTTTCCATCGTCTACTCCATGTATCGCTGGTCCAGCCATACGTTCAAAAATCTCCGGACTATTGGTAGATGATATTAAACAAGGTTTTGATTAGTCAGTCCTTTTTCTTTTGCCGCCATCACTGGGTTTATCAAATAACGAATAAATATATCTTCTCTAGTGAGTGTTGAAAAATGGAGATTTGAGCGTTGGTGGATGAGTTCATATGAGATTTATGTACTCTGTTTCTTAAACATGAGTGGTCAAAGATAGATAATTTCTTAATATCCTCTTGTACTTTCATTGGTCATTTCGAATTGCTACTGCAGATTACTTTCATTGTTTTTATGGTGACTTCTCGACGGCGCCATAAAGATTTTAGCTACCGGAAGAACATATTTTATCTTCGGTTATTCGGTTGTAATTTCGTTTTTTGCTCGTTTGGGATTAGAGTGAATTCAAGATATTTAAAGTCAAATGCTTCCTCAGTCAATGATGAATTGATAAAAATAGGTATTTTATCAGCTTCTGGTATATATGGTGGAAAGGCCTTCGTTTTAATGCAGTTTGTTTCACGGGTTTGACTCGCTGTAGTTGTCACATTGTTTAACATTATTTGCTTTTCGTTAGCAAAAATGGCTACATTAATGTATATTCAAGATCTGTGGCTCACTATGCTCTCGAATGATTTGTACATCTCTTAGTGCCGATAAATGTTGTCCATTATCCATTCTAACGCATAGTTGAATATTGTAGGTAGAAGGCTTTGTTCGCCTTGACAGGCACCAGTTCTTATGTCAGAAAAGTCTACCGATTTCCCGACCTGTGCCGATGTATGCGGTAAAAATATCTTAATATTAAATATTTTTATGAATCAAATGATTTTCTATGGAACTAAATGTCTTTTATTTTTAGATGTGCATGATAATAACATGAACATGAATGTTCAAATTCCTAATTGCGTCAAAACCATTTCCTCTTTTTCTTTCAGTATGTTTTTTTTAAGAAAAATTATAATCATAGGTGATGCTCATTTAAATTATAGCAATAGAAAAATAGAAATTCTTTTTATTCTATGATTATTTATTCTTTTGCACCTTTCTTGAATAGTTTTATTAGCTGCTAGAGCGAAGCATTTCCGATCTTTCCGAATAAGATATATCTTGGAGCCACTATTCAATACTGAATCTTGCTTTCAGTTTGGGCTATTTGCCGGAAATTCTTTATCTGCGCCATTATTTTTTGGCTTGTTGGTACTGGATTAATATCATATTTAATTTTCGAAAATTGTAAGCATGATATACAGTGGATTCCATCTTCTAAACCATTTTGTGACTCTTTTGTCCAATTAACTAATAAGCATAAGGTTAGTATTATTCTTTGCATTAACCAAATAGTTAGAGTTTTTAAGATACAATAAAATGCTTTTCGATGCTGCGCAACATTTATTTTGAATAATTTTAGTTGGATTCAAATTTTTTCACGAATTTATATGGAACAGTTTTCTCATTACTGCGATTTTTTTTAATATTTGCTTACGACTGTGCTCAATCTACGTTTTCATTTGTCAGTGAAAATTCATTTTTCTTGGTTTGTCTTTTTTCATTTATGTAGAAAAATTACGGAAAATTGAATAAAAAGATCCTTGTAGATGAAGCATTGATTTATACTCTCAAAACACTTTATTTTTTTGAATCTTATTAGATTTTCATGTTCATAAAATCCCTGTTATTCTCATACATTTTCTTTTTTAGTGTTATTTTAATGTTTCTAATGTTTTGCCCTTCATATTTTCCCTTTCCATTTTTCAATTTGTGAATTTAGTACTATCGCTGCTGCGGCAGAAATTTGTAAATTTGAAAAAAAGTTTGGTTATGCGATAAAAATATATTAAGGTTGGTAGGGCGATAAAAATATATTAAGGTTGGTAGATGTTAAGAAAGTATAGTAATAATTTACCAAGGAAAAAGATCTGAGAAGGGAAGATTATGTTAACTATTTTTTAAGGAATATTTTTTAAGGAATATTACTGAGGTCTGTGATATATTAATAGGGCACTTATGAAGATTTAGGAAATTTTTAAAGAAAGGAAAGGTTTTTAAGGATAAATCATAAAAATGTGATTTGAGACTGCGACCATGTCTGTGTTTATTGTTTATATTTACAGAATTGGTTTTGACTGCAAATGCGTCTTAATTGAAAAAATTTGATACTAGATTTAAAAATGGTGGAGGTGAAATTCCTTCAAAAAAATTGAAATTATTTTATTTATATGGACTTTAAAATTTATTTTTTTTAGTATAAAATGGGCCAAAAATGGTATATGGATAATAATATTTCGATTTTTGTCAATGCGCTTATACAAAATGCCGTTATTTTCTTCAAAGTTTTTTTTCTTATGTTTGCGGATTTAGCAGTTTTCCTTCTTGGTATGAAATCATTCCCTATATATTTAAAACTTTGTATATTGCGGATAAGAATAATTTGTGCTTGACACTTTATCTTATATGGAAGCTATATTCTAAAATCACTACATCTACCATTAACCCATATGGAAAACAAACCGATTTAATTAAATATTCAAAGTTTGTCGAAAATGTATTGACTGCCTGTTGCCTCAAATCAATTTTCGCGGTTCTAGATCTGATTTTGATTTAAGCACATATTATTATTATTATTAAGCACATATTAATTATTCTATTCGAATTATGTTACTATTTATTTAAAAAGGGGAAAGATCCTGGAATATCTTGATTTAAAAAAGGAAAACGAAAAGTTATATGTTCTTTTAAATCCTTTAAGGAAAAAGGGGTTGAAGTTTTATTTTCAAAAATTTTTGTTTTTTGTTCCATTTTATTAATTGTAAAAGATTTTTTCAGAAGTCGGGTTGTCGCTGATAGAATGGTTAACAAAGTTAATTATGTATTATGCAGAACATAATGACGAAATTATTGAAAAAATGTGGAATTTGTGGAAAATGATTTAAAAATTGTTAAATAATCGTTGATGTTTGGTGCAAGCAATAACAAAGACCTCAAAGCAAGAAATGGAAATGTTCATTTTAGTTCATTTTTCTGGTTTTTATATTATCGTTTTTTTCACATCACAGTTTTACAGGGCTCTATTTTTCACAATACTTCTATAAGTTTTATGGTTTTACTTCCATATCTTTCTTATTGTACGATTTCTTTGACGATTGACACGATTTTCATTTTTACAAATTTCCACTAATTTTCAGTGAATAAGTTGGAAAGTTATTTTTTAAAGTTGATATATTTTGATGTATTTAATGGGCATTATTTGTCAATTATGATATAATCGTAGAAAATTCTTGTTAAATATATGTAGAATTTTTTTTTTTCAAATAAAAATATTTCTGTATTCGCATGGGAATTGCCCTTTATAAATTTTATACTTTAGAGATTATATTTAATTGAAGGCACCTGAAAATTATATACAAAATTAACTATGTCAGCTGTCAGTTTGCTGTTTTATATTTTAAGGTATATTCCTACGGAACAAAAAATTGTCAAATAAATTAAGTAAATCGAAAATTTATTTTTGTTCAAAGAGTCGAGGAAAATTTAAAGACAGATGGGCCACTCAGATTTCATTTTTAACGAAAAAATCAAAAAACGTGGATCGAGCTCAAATATTCTGGTATAAGGATCTTTAAAAAACTTCATTTTCCACTGAACTGCGATTTAAAAAACACATACTGGCGTAATATGTCTCTACTTCGATTAAAGTTAATATTAAAAAAAATAAATTGAATGTTAAATTTCTAAAAAATTCATATTCCATAGAAAATGATTTGAAAGAAAAATAGACTAACCGAGTTCACACGGTATTCATATCTAGCTGCCGCCTAATTTAGCCATGATGATAAATGATAATAATAACAATAATAAAATGGCAATATATGAAAATTAAAATCTTCGAAAAATTTGAAGAAAACATTTAAACGGATGTTTATTTTAACCTTTTTCTTCAACTGGCTTATTTTATAGATTTCTTGAATTTATTACGAAATTTAGGATTAGAGACGATAATGATACCAGAACTACCTGTCACAACTACTTTTGGCAATTCCAGGAATCTCAAAGCAGGAAATGAAAAACAAATGCAAAAAACCGATCTAACTGAAATCTGAAGGTTATAATGATTATTAACAAAATTGATTGATATTTAAAATGAAAATTGATATTTAAAAAAGATAATGTATAAAGAAGAATAAAAATAAGAATCACAATTTTTCACGAGGTAGAAATTTCCTCATTTAGAAAATAAAAAAATTGCCATTGTGGTTTTGCACTGATGTGTATGACAAGTTACATGACAAGAAATTGATTCCAAGAATTCCCTGGAATATATATTTACAAAACAAAAATTTAGAATAGAGATAAATAAATAGAGATTACCATGAATAGAGATCAACTCAACTCACAATGCTATCACTAAAAAACGTGGATAACAATAAATTTCACTCACACCTCCATTGAACTGATGAATTCTTCTAATAGTTTATACCATTCTCAGTTTGCTCGCTTCCACTGAATATTAGAGTGAGACAAACCTCAGGAAAGAGAAACGAATGGGCCTTCAACAATCACCCGAACTTTTTAGTGACTTTTAATTGCTCCCGCAAAATGAAGCCATTTTGCTTGCCTTCAACGATTCAACAAATTCTCTATCGCATTAAAATGAATATGATATATATTTTAATTCCACTTATTTTAATTGAAAAGACGCTAAATTTAACCCATCATGAAAAGGAAGAGAGTGACGGGGGAAGGAAGGGAGGAGGGAATGAATGGAAAGAGGGAGAAAAAAAGCAAAAATCAACGATTGGCTTGATGCCCATTATCTTAGCTTGATTGTTGTTTAACGAATGTTATTCGGGCAACTGTTGATGCCACTGCCATGAAATAAGAAACATGCATCGATGACTGTTTAGCACTTTGCATTGCATTTATTTTATATTGTATTTTTAGCACTGGTTTGTGATGGTGCAAGTTTCGATAAATCATTAACCAACGGAGATGGCACAAATAAACCAAGCAAGGTAGCTGCGCACAAAAATACCGCGTGAAAGACATGTGGCATTCTTCACATAGCGATATATTTAACAAAAATGGTTTCATTTTCCACTGAAAAAATTCAATATTCATATTCATTGAATAATTTGGAAAAATCCATGAAAATTTTGCCATCTTTTGTAATTTAGATGAAATTCCTTTAATAAAAATACTTCCAATCAGAAAATAAAAAAAATTTGAAAATAAAAAATAAAAATTAAAATTAAAATAAAAAATTAAAAAATAAATGAAAAAACGAAATCAGCCAATAAATCGAACAACTTTTTTTTCTTGATCAATCGTATTTATCCTGATAAATCTTATCGCGCCAACATAAGCTTCCCGATTTTCAAATACAATTTGAGCTGCACCTTTCGGATATTGTCTGTCGGGATTGACCTCCAAAGAAACCAATAAATTCTAACGTTACCAATAAATTCTTCAATAATACCAGCCAGCTCTACTGCAAATAAAGTATAAAAAGAATATTAAGAAACTTTGGCCACCGAGAAATCACGCAGTGAACCAATAAACAACTTACTTGCTGTTGTCGTTCGTGGAACTCCACCAACAAATACTGAATAATGATTATTGACAGCCGTTCGAGAGAGACTCTATATTCTTATATGATTAGAAAGCAACCATGGCCTAATTTGCACCTGAAAATAACCTGGTTCACTTTAAGTAAAAAATTTAAAAATTGAATATAAACCTTTAAAAATAGGAATCGCACTGCTTTTATATATTCTCCCTTAATTTTTAGAACAGTTTTCAGTTTTCCTTGAAGCTTGGCGCAGTAGTCAACAAGATTTTGAACCGACGAACTATTCGCAAACAGCAAAATATTCTAAAGAAGATCGAACTAAAAAGAATTTAAACTATTTATTAAAGTTTAAATTATTTGTTAAAATAACAGAAAAAAACAAAACATTTGCTGGTATTTGGCTGTCGCCTTGATTGCGATATGGCCAATCAACTGTTGCAGTGCCAAACTGATTGAAGAGCATTTGCTGGTATTTGGCTGTCGCCTTGATTGCGATATGGCCAATCAACTGTTGCAGTGCCAAACTGATTGAAAAGCATTTGCTGGTATTTGGCTGTCGCCTTGATTGCGATATGGCCAATCAACTGTTGCAGTGCCAAACTGATTGAAAAGCATTTGCTGGTATTTGGCTGTCGCCTTGATTGCGATATGGCCAATCAACTGTTGCCAAACTGATTGAAAAATTCGCTGATCACACTTGAATTCAGCAATAAATGAAATTTAGACTAAACTGGCTTCGAATCAATCTAAGTCGCTTATTTAACAGCTAACCAAGTGAAAAGAAAACAACACATCTAATCAACATTAAGCCAAATTTCAGTTAATCTCCCTCCAAGAGACGCGAAATTAAAATTAACAAATTTAATAAAATTTCGTGAAAATCTAAATTTTCAAATTCTTCGTGAAATCGCCCTCGAATTTTTTTTCAAATTTTCAAGTTATTTAAAAAAGTAAAAAGAATTTACTTCTGGAAATATTTCATGGAAAACCACCAATAAAAACTTTTCTGGAATAAATTAGTGAAGCATCACTTTCAGTTTCATTTCGCTCCACAAAATTTATCGCTAACATTCGTTCCTCATTTCTCGCCGAAAACGCTAAAACATGCTCTTTTTAGCGAATATCGCATGATAACTCTTAAACTCAGAAAGCTCTCAAACATGTTGCGATTGGTGTCGCATCATCCAGAAAAAAATTTCTAATATTTCGAGGTGCCTCTTTCACGTATTCCATACAGATTTGTTGTTGAAGATGAATCAAGCAATTCGCAGTCAAATCGTACACGTAATTTTCTGCAAAAAGAAAAGAAATAAAACCATGCGAATACTTGATAGGAATATAAGAATACTAGGAATAACGAATATCAGCAAAATTCCTGTTTTATTCCACCTTAACTTTTCTTATCCAACGATAAAATACCTCATTTGCGCAACTACAACCTGCGCAACTTTCAGATTATCATTCGGTACCAAACACCATGAAACTAAACTTTCCTCCGGATCCTCCGTTTAAAAAAACTGGCAGTGTATCCCACATGTAACTGGCAGGATTATCCCACATTTTTAACTATTATGTGAATGAGTGAAAAAAATTCTCATTGCTCTCACATGCTTAATTTTAATAATCTGCAACTGTAATCAAGCGAATATTACAAATTTACTCTCTAACCTGTAATTCCACGCTTCAAGCAATTCCACTTCGTCAATTCGAGTTTAAAGACCATTTCGAATTCATACAACAATACGATAATCACAAAAAATTCTAATTTTACAAAGAACGATAGAAATATGAAGTCTTTTGACAACTTAATATAGCAAAGATCATTTAAAAAATATTAAATAGAGATTGCAAATAGAGATGTTGTGGTACCACAGAAGCCTGGTCTGCGAACTAACGACGGTCACGGTCGATCAGGAAATGTGCGAGAGAACACCAGAACTGTATTAGGATAAAATAATGATCGGTTCGATAAAGGTGGATTTGGCTAAAATGAGGAAAGCTCACTAAAACTCACTGAAACTCTCACTAAAATTGAAAAACTGGTAAAAAATAAGTTAGAATAAGAATAATTTGGTAATTATCTCTAATAAATAATTTTTTATTCATAGTAAAAGATAAGGCAAAAATGTTCGATCTTGTTATATGGCTGCGAGACATAGCCAATGGGAGTGGAGGAAATTTAGAAGCTAAATGCCTTTGACCACTCATGTCTAAAGCACATTTTATGGGTCCGTCAAGCGGATAAAATATCACATAACTGCATCCACCTCTCGATGGCTGCTGGGACCTCATATGTAATTTAAGTGATTCTGTGGTGGAAAAGTTAGATGTTCCTGATACGGTGTCCGCATCCTCCGACGCGCTGATACTCCCAGCCCGGATGATAAATGCGATAAGTATATATAATCCTGGCGTAAGTGGCATCTCGAGAGCGGCGGATGCATACTGGTCCCAACTAAAATCATCCTCTTCCATAGATTATACTAGTAGGAAATGTGTTAGTTGGATATGGGAATCAACTGTCTAATTATATGAAAAAGCTGCCAAAGCCCGAATGTCAGAAGATTCTAACTATCGAGTGCTTCGAAGAAATTATAACGACAGCAGCATGGCATGACAAATAACTATTGGAGTGACATAATTACACGATTACACGATTATAGTAGGGATTATAGTAGGGATTTCCCCTTCTTTATAAAACAGCTATAACTTGAGGAACGATTAGTAAATGGTAGAGGATAGCAATATACGCAAGAGAAAACCTGTCCACCGGGTGATGCTGGCGAGTCACCTGTATTGCCATGAGACTCACTTGCATATTTGTCCAGTGCGACAAGCCAGCGGAGCGAGTTTAACCTGTAATAGTGAGGACTCTTTAAAAAAAGGGATAGCAATGATGTGCCTTTTAGGAATATTAAAGACCTCACAATATGGAAGGAATTCTTTGAGACCAAACTTAACCATGGTGCGCCATCTGTTGACTTGGACGTAGCTGATACGATTGTCAAACCATAAGCAATTGCGAACCGCCAACAGAAGAAATTATCTCCGTTATTCCACAAGCTTAAGAGTGCGGGCGAAGGTGGTATTCGAGTTGAATTCTTCAAAGCTGATGTTGTCCATAGTCCTTCATATTGTACTTTCAAGAAATGTTTCTGGTATGGAAAAAAAAAATTACCAGATGACTGGAGCAAAGCAATTCAGTTCCCAATTCCCAAGAAAGGTAATAGGACGACAATTATCGAGAAATCAGCCTACTAGACGTCACAGCGAAAATTTTTGCCTCCCTTTAACTCAATAGACTTATGGCAGTACGATAAAGTAGAAAGCACCTTAATCAAGTTGGATTCAGACTGAGGTGCGGCTGTGCTGACCAGATATTCACGTTAAGAAGAATGTTGAAACATCACTTTCGAATATCTGCAATCTGTATCGCTTTGGTATATACTGCATTTGATAGCTATTTCTACAAGTTATTTTGAATTGATTTCAAGTGCCGTTTTCCAAAGTCCCTTTGAGTTCTGGATGAACGTCTCTAAGATCCTGTTAGCTTTGTATAAAGACAGACATTCATAGACCCATGTGTGGGTCATTAGCTTTCATATAATCAGTGCAAGCTAGATTGGTCATTCTCTAAGGCTAAACGTTTGAAAATCGACGAAAGAGTATTTTTAAGATTTGTATGATAGAAAAAAAGTTTGGAAAAAACTTTCGTTTTATTAACATTGATACCAGAATAGAGATGAGATTTTACTTTATCTATGAGCAGTTGCTGTTTGGAGCCTCTGGTTTTGTACCTAATGCTTCTTTGAATTGCATCTATGTACTGGCTCATATGGTCATGAAGCTTGGTGGATGTGGTTCCTGACAGGACTTTCCACATTATGAGTAGGTAGCTTAATGGTTGGTAGTTGGACGGTGCTGAGGGTCTTTCATGGTCTTTCATACTGTCCTCAATTTGAGTGAGAGCAGATGGTCCATCTGTGTCGTTAGGCGCTCATCAACAAGTTGTTAGCTTCTTTAGTCAGTAGGTATGGTCATGTCGGATATGGTCGGAAATATTTTCATATTTTTGAGTCGCTATTAAATATCAACAACTGTGATGGTAGCGGGTTTTCGTCCGTGAGGTTGCTTATTCTCAGACCTTGCAACCACTTTGCATTGATTTTATTTTCTTTTCCTCCCAAATATTCTTAAAGTATTGTGCAGTTCCTGCTGCTGGTTGTTACCATATTATTACTCTGAAGTTGAGAGTAGTCCTTCCTTGGAGAACAGTGCATTAATTTTTCAGCCTCTGCTTCTCTACCTCCTTAACCTAGTGGCCAGTGCTGTGAACCTCTATTTTCTGGGGCTTCTGATGGAATATAACATGTATTTCTCCAGTATTCGGTTCTATCATATACCAATTTATTGATTTCTTTTATAGTGCTAATGGAAATTGTTGTGAGGATTCTGTTTGCATCTTCGGGCTATCTGGTGGTCCTCGGTAGTCGGTTCCGATGCTTGGTTACAGCCAGTTTATTCATTCATTTTCTACCTCACATCAATCGTTCTTCGCAACAGCGATAATTTCCGTTCCCCAGCTTGCGTGCTGTCTCTTTCCTTTCCTTTTCGTTCCGATCGTTTCGCGCCTACGATGTAGCGCAGAGTTTGTCCATTCCCACGTTAAAATAGCGCAGTAAAAGAGCCTTGTTAGTGTAAAGTTTTGTGCTTATTTGTCACATTGTAAGCCAAAATCTTTTATTCTTCAAATACTCAAAAATTTTACAAAAAACAATAAATTTTTGTGCAAATATTAAGTGATTTTATGAAAATCAATAAGAATTCAGCCATTTATGTGGGAATCGTGACATTTTTTAGTTGTAACATAGAAAAATGGTCTCGTAAAGAAAACTTTATTGCTATTTTGCAGACCACCTCTCGTTTTTTTCTCAAACAGTTTGGCTGTGTTTGTCATTGTCTGTTTTTCTTCGTGGAATGTTTTATAAAAAGTAATTCTTTGAATTTGGTTCCGTGAAATTTGTAAAAGTTAAATTTTCAGCTGATTCCAGTAAATCTGGAGGAAATGACTCAGTAGATTTTTGTTCCCATCTCCGACGCGGGGGAAAACCTCTTTCGAGGAACCCTCATCGTGGTGGTGACTCACTTCCGTTTATATTTTTAGGTGGCTCTCTGGCAAAATTTTTCTTGTACAACAAGCCAAAAGAGCGAGCTTAACAGGAAAATGGTGGGTGCCTATGGAAAAAAAACATCTGAGAAAATGTTTCGTTAAGTGAATGGTTAAAATTATGCGAATTTGCACGTTTCATGTAGACTTTTAGTTTCAATGATTAATAAATAAATTTTCAATTAGTCCGATTAATATAGCTGTCTAGCGCAAAGGGTTACTATAATTCTGGATTCGAACTAGCGCTTCACCTTATCAATCATTAATAGTTATCACTGATAATAATAATGGCTAATAATAATAATGGCTGGTTGATAAGGCAATTCTTCATTTAAACGTGCGACAGTTAATTGGAAAAGAATTGACAGATTCATAAATAAGTGGAAAATAAATCCACAGATATACACGTTAATAAGCAAACAAAAAAGGTAACAAGTGAAGACCTGAGCTGTAATAGCTGGACAAAAGCCCATTGAATAAAGAAGAAAATGTCGTCAACGCTTCAACGATTCATCTAAGAGGACCACAGGTGAAAAGAGTGGCAGCGGGCCTAATCCAAATGTAACCTTTTGCATTCACCATTTGGCTGCACTGACTATTCTTTCCAATTTTACATTTCTTTAAATAATTTTTTACTTTTTATTGAATTTTTTTAAAATTTCTTCCATAAAAAAGTTATACATGTTATTGGGTTGAAATTTCAGATTTTTTCGGACTGGAAACTATCGTAAAAAAAAGAAAAATTTTTTATTTGTAAAATCTTCATCAGGTGGATTAATTCGTAAACGAATTTATAAAACGCAATCAGCAGCGAATATTGATAGTTCTCATAAACATTTCAATGTTTTCGACCATTTAGGTTTATTTTTCTTTTTTTTAAGAAAGATTTTTTTTTGAATTTTTTAATTAGAGATTGAATGGTAATGGTGAGGACTCTTTAAAAAAAATTTTCTTTTTCTCAAATAAGATTCTGGATTTTTCAAATTAGAGATTGAATGGTTAATTGTTGGTATCATTTCGCTGAGCGCTGATGGTTCTTATTTTTATCACCAGGAGAGTTAGCAAAATTTCCAAACCAGCGGAGCGAGCTTATGCAGAATTAGCTGTCAAATTATCATTTTCATTTTACTCATTCCAGTACTATTTACATAATGTACTATGCTATATATTTTTGTCTCACCAAATTTTAGACTAGTTTGGACTTTGTTGGTTTGCTTCTATTAGTAATTTCAAACTTGTAAACATTATAATTTTTCTTCTATGAAATGCGAACTAACAAGGTCCAAACCAGTCTAAAATTTTGCTTATTTCCTACTTCATGCCTTTTATGCTTACTTCAATTTTATTTTACTATGAAAATTTTTACTCATTTCAATTTTTGCTTAATGAAATTAGCCAAAGTTGAAAATTTCTTCATTGGAGAATGAGAAATTAAGAACATTTTAGAAGAGGTTTCGGGGCAAAGTTTTTAACCTTTTATCCTGATCTACCGATAGGTATCAATTCTTTAAATAGCATTTGAAGCTTGAGCTTGTAAGTGCATTTTTCGTTAATCATTTAGTATTTCTTTTTTCCCATATTCACATCTGTAATATTATTTTCTTAATTATCTGTTTTGCTATTTTTGAGAAGCGTAAATTAGATTTGCTCCGATTTTTAATTTTAATTGCTTTTTTTGCGAATTTTTTTGTCTTTTTCATTATATTTGTATATTACTTGCATCATCATTTTTGTATTATTATGTTATATATCATTTTATATTATTTTATTTTCATTTTTTTTTGCAGTGCTAAATGGCCCAGAAAATTGTGTGAATATCATTGATTGTGAAAATTATTGCGGTGTTCAGTTTCAAGAAGGCCATCCAAATATGGTTATTCCTCCGTTTTTGCTTGAACTTTAGGTCTTGAAAGCTTCGTTTTCTAAGGAATAATTAGGAAATATTTTTTTGTATGCTTTTTTTGTGGAAGATGAATTTCTTCTCTTTTTTAACTTTTTTGGAGGCAATTAATAAATGTAAGATGATAATAAATTATTTGTCTTCATTGATAGATAGGGTTAAGTTGCATTTAATTTCTTTATTTGCTTGATTAAACGGTGTAATATGAGATTTTTTGAGTTTTTTTTAGAAACAGTCAAATGGAAATATAAAAAAGAAGCCAGTCGCTTTAGTGACATCAATTCCTTCAACTTCGTAGTTTTTTATTGTTTTTATTATTATAATATTCATTTTTTACTATTTTAATTTATTAACAATATATTGCCTTTGACTTAAAATATTTACCTTTATGTATTTACCTAATAAATATTTACCTTTGACTAAAATCCATTTTTATAATCACTTATTATATTTTTCATTTTTCCATGCGTCCAAATATGCTCAGTTATTTTAAATTTTAGTGAAATTATCACCTTATCAGACAGTGAAGAAGAAATAACGAAGGTAATTCCGGATAACGATGTTAGTGCCTTTTTTCTTCTAGCACATACGGAGTGATTTGCGACTTAAATTTCGCGAATTCTCTTGCAGAATTGATCTGGTCTAATAATTAATGTGGTCATTTTTTTCCAATCTAAGCCCATATATTTATTGCTAGGCAATCTATCTGTTCGAAGTAATTCCTGATCGTATCAGGTTTTGAGATCATTTTTTGACGCCATCAGTCAAAATGCTTAGCATATTGTGATTTCTGCATTTCTTATTATAAGTTGTAAAGAACATTCTCTAATCAGCATAAGACACACTCACGATACTATTAATGAAGATGGTATTCGAGGGAAAATAGATATAGATAATCCTAAACTGTCGTAATTGCTGAGAAAATCGTAATTGCGAAAGGTAACATAACGGTTACTGAAGGTATTTTAAGAAGTAGAGAGAATCGGAATGATAATTTTCATTAATTTTCAATGCTACCTTCCCAAAACTACTAGCTCGATTCACACCGTGTCTTTATTGTTTCCTAAAATGTTGTGCTTTTGAAAATTTCCGCAAACTTATAGATATGTTTTTTCCTGTTCTTTTGCCTTAATTTGTTGACCTGTTTATTTAATCAAATCCTCTTTCCCTCTTTAATTCTCATTTTTTTAAGTTGCAATCACTTATTTCCATATACTTTCTTTACTTTCTGTCGAAACTCGCAATACATTTTTCCACTAATGCATTCAAAAACCATAAAATTGGAAAATTTAGCAAATTGAGATATCAAGATATCAAGCAAACAAGTATAGTGAGAGAATTGATATGTTGAGGGAGAACCGTGAGTGTCCAAAGAGATGTTAAGAAAACGTTGCGTGTTTCGGAAGGATTAAGGAAGAACCAAGTTTTTAAAAAAATTTTGCCCTTCGGAAGAATTATCGTTAGAATTAGTATATCTTTTTATTAGTATTTAGAGATTGTGTGAACAGTTGTCGATTCCAACATCAATAAAAATATTCTGGCATTTTTAACTCTTTTTTTATCCTTACAATGTATCGTATAATTAGAGACGTTTTAAATCTGGAGTAGTTCTTTGCCCCTCAATCTTTCACTACAATCGTTTGATTTCTTAAATCCGCTTCGCGCATATCATTTTTGTAAGCAGGTTAGGCATTCACTGATTTTTGGAAAACGCTGTTTGATTCCCAGATACCATAGTTTATCTCGAAGTATAAGTTTGTTTGTCTCCAATAACAGCTCGGATTTTAATTTAGGTGGCAGGTTTATTTCTCGCAAGCGATACGGAAGTGTGAAAGATAAATGTTAAAACTATTTATGACATAAAAATCTATACAAATTTTTTAATATTACTTTTAATTTAATTTAATTTCTGCTTTCATTTTATTACTTTCAAAAGCTTTTTTTTTAAATTTTATTTTTTTTATTCCCTCTTTAATATTTATATTTAGTTTGTGGAAATATTGGATCATATTTCATCAGACCAGTCCATGGTTGCAAAAAATTTCATTCCTTTGCTGGAAGAAGAACAAGTCAATTCATCAAAGAAAACAAAATTGGCGAATAACAATGAATCTGATGTAGTTTCAATTGGTCATTCGTTGAATGGAAATAAATATGTATCATTACCTCAGGTATCATGTACTTTTTGATTATGGGACCTATTATATCTAACAATCTATTTTAGCCATATCATCTCAAGGTCCGCCTTCGATGACCCTGCTATGGGCCATAAGTTTGGTAAAAACCTGGAGAAAAACTCTGTGGATCTGAGCAATATTATTTTCAGTTGCTTTGGCAACTATTTATTTTTTCTAAAAACAATAGAAAGAAGTTTTGAATGATGGCATCATTAGAAAGGAATATAATGGAGTATGAAAGATTTAGGGAACATTTCGGTAGGTCTTTTACAGAATATGAAAGGCGTATTAAGGGATATTAAGGGGCTGCAACATTGACGGCCGAGGTTTCGCTATCACAAATTTTTGTAAGAGAATTAACAATTAATGTAATGTTTTAAAAGAGCAAAATGGCGTTTGACTATGTAAGTAGCATACCATAGCACCCAAAGAATCCGTACTAATGTGATAAATTAATGGAAATGGGGATCTTGCAATGTATTAACGGAGTTTAAATTGATAAAAGTGAAAAAATGAAAATATATGGTAGGATTTCAGGAGGGAATCAATGGGACATTATGGGGCTTTCGATAATTTTAAAATGTGTTAATGGAAAATATACTCCTCATGCTGTCCTTAGCAATTTTAAAATCTGTAACGGCGCTAAGGAGAGGAGCATTGACCGCAACTTGATCTGGCAGGATTAAAGCTCGAAAGGGGTTCAAAATGATGTTGGCAACGGGTCATGAGGAAAAAATGCAGTAATACCCTTGGCAATATTAATAGATTAATTTTGCGTGGTTTGGAAATATTTTTCGCGGAACTTATTTTATATCAGATTTTAGGGTGTCAGGTGATTTTAACAAAGCAGATCGGGACTTTGCAGGCAAGATTCGGGGAGTTTTTTGAACATTTGGTTTTGACAAAAGAATAAAGTGAGATTTTGGCACGATATTAGGTGACCATAGCGAGATTAATATATAAGGGACTCAACAGATTTTACAGATATTTAAAGGAGTTAAAATAAAAAATGAAATTGAAAAGTGCATTTAAATGGGTGCTGAAGAAATTTAAGGGAATATGGTATCTAAGAGGTTAATCATAGAAAGAAATTTATAACAATATTGCTTATGGGCTATGGCAAAAAAATCAGATTTTTGTTGGGAGATGTTCAGAAAGTTGTTAGGCGGTGGGTTTGGAAGATGTGGCTCAAGAACTATTGCAAAATGGATTTTAACAATAAGTGCATTACAAAGGTTTAGAGGATATAGTTTTTAACAAGGATCGGGAAAAATTTTGACAAAATTTGGCGGATTTTGGAGGAAATAGATTTTCCCAGATATGCACATACATAAATATATACAAACACAGATACACATATTTACTTACTACTTATATATAAACTACCGCATATAATATTAAGTAATTTGCCACAAAAATTCTAGCTGTTTTTTAAAAATTTTATTTCTAATTTAACTTTAAGAGGCATGGGGGAAAATAAGAAATTCGAAGCAAATTTTCTTTTGAATAAGAAATGAGATTATCCACCTAACATATTAAGGTCCAGTGGAAAGCTGGTCTATACCAAAAGATTGCAGGTCGAATTTTATAGGTGTTTGAATTCTATATTTCTTCCATTATCTTAGGTGATTGTTTTACTGTTCCTGAGTTTTGTTTGACTAAGAGTGTTCTCAATGAAATTTTACTTGAATTTTTTATTTAATTATATAAATAGTATGCAGAAGGATTTGAATTCTCGAATCTTCCATTTCTTGGCCTAAATATATGAAATAAGCTGATTCGAGAATGTAGCTGAAATAAGCTGAATTGCTGTTGAATAATATTAACACTTTAATTTTTCTGAAAAAATCTTTTTTTATAAAGCACAGTTTTCTTTCACTTTTTGTTCTCGACAAAGGCTCATCAAATATGTTAAAAACTTGGACAGATTTATTTTTAGAGGTTTAAAGTTATAAGCCATCCAAATGAATGGACTGAAATTCGTCCTTCACAGACTTGTTCATATATTGTTTGGGATAAATGCACAAATAGTGCATCTTGTGATTTTGAATCATTAAATAGTAGCGGTAATATTTTTCTTTTTTAATTTTTTTAAGGATTTCTAAAAGATTTTAGTGAAAGAAATATTCGTTATTTATATATGTTTTTTGATAAATTTTTTCTAAGATATTAATTACTTATAATTATTCATTTTATCGATTGTAGGAGTGGAATGTTCAAATGAAGAATATCCAGATCTCCTATCCCAGACTACTGCCTCTTTATATAAATTTGTGTTAAGAAAATGGGAACCCATCAGAGTTCGCTTCTAATTTTTGATTTTTACAACACTATATTGCTTTTTATATCTATATCTACCTTTTACATGATCTTCTTTGTAAAAGTTATACTTAGGTGCCAGTGCCAGTTAGTGGGACGAATATACTTGTATGTAGTTATAATGTCTTGTGTCAGGATACAGCCAATCGGCATATGTACATGTATACTCATCTAAGGTTAATTATTTAAATAAAGAATTTTTATATTAATTGGTGCTTTTTGATCTTTTAAAAATATTTTTTTCTTTAGTATTTCTTTTTATTTTTATATTTTTACAACCACATTTTTATATTCCTATTGTTTTTTGAAGCAAAAATAATAATGAAGGAAAGATGCAGTGGTCTTATCGATCTCCCATGCTCGCCCACGAATTTTGTACTATTGATGCGGACATAGTTTGCTTGCAAGAAGTTCAAAATGATCATTATGATAATTTTTATAAATTTATATTTAAAGCAGGTTTATTCTTTTTTCAGTTATACATTTACATATTTATAAAGATACTAAAGGCTTTTAAGCAAATTTTAAGATGAATTAAAAAATTAAAATTTCAAGCAAATAAAAAATTCTAAAATTTTAACTAAAAAATAAAATTTTAAAATATTTATTTTAAAATATTTCTTTTTTTTGGCTTTGGCTTTTTGATTTGACTTTTGTTTTGACTTTGATTTTTTTTGATTTTTTTTTCATTGTTCTATTTGGCTGGTTTGTTTTTTTCATTTTATTTTCAATGCCAAATAAGTTATTTTTTTATTGTTAAATATAATTTAGCTGGTTATCATGGCGAATTCAAAAAGAAAACTGGTTCTTCAGTTGATGGATGTGCTATATTTTATAGATCGAGGTTTGAATGTTTGCGATATTTGCCAATTGAATATTATGTCGACAAAAATTGTATTTTAAACAGGAGTAATATTGGTAAGGGTGTCTATTTTATTGATAATAGTAATTTAGCAACATGGTTTATTGTATTGATTCCATTTTATTGATTATTTATAGATATAGATTTATAAAAGTTATATTCTTTGTGGAGAAAAATAAATCTTTATTTCAAACTAAACCCATTTGTTTAGTTAGCCAAATTAGTATTATGTTAAAAAAGAATATGTGAATATTGATGATTGAGTTAAAATATATATATATATATTAAAATATATATATATTTAACATTTTTAATATTCAATGGATGTGCCATATTTTGTAGATTCCATATTTTTTCTTTGATAGCTTATTTTCAATTTTTTGGTTCTGTTGATATATATTCATCTTGATCCTTAGGACAAATTATGCGTTTGAGAGACAAGCTAAGTGGAAAGGAATTTTGTATTGCCAACACACACCTGCTTTTCAACATAAAACGAAGTGATATCAGAATTGCACAGTTGATAATACTTTTAGCACATTTGGATAAGGTTTGTCGAGTTTGATTTTTAAATTCCAAACAAAATTTTTTTAACATCAGATATATTCAAGTTTTTAAAATTAATCTTTTCATAGGAATGTGGCTTTTTTGCTTTCAAACCGTGTCCAGCTATTATATGTGGAGATTTCAATCTATCTGCTGACAGTCCTGTTTATAAATTTTTGTTGGGAGAACGAGTATCACTTGAACAGAACGATGAATCTGTCGGTTCTGAGAATAACTTTAATCAGTATTCTTCGTTTGATCTTGTTTTCAGACAACTTAATATTGGAAAAAATTGTCGATTCTTCCATAATATTGGTTTGATTTATATTTGTATATCTTTCCTCAAAAAATTGGAGTCATCGTTAAATTATTTATTTAGAAAACAATACAGTTTATTCATTAAGAATGACTGGCTTAAACAACATTCAGCAAAAAAATAAGAATAAAATATTATTAATTATAAAAATCGAAAATAAATTGGAAATTACAAAAAAGGAATTGAAAATATTTCATCTGAAGCCTAAAATTCTGAATGTTTTTTAAAGGTAAACTACAAAAAACGAGCAAAAATATCGCTACGCTACTTTTATCTAAAATTATTTATGTAAAATTAATGTTTCTGATATAGCATTATTTTTTTATTATAATATTCAGTTTATAGAGCTTCAATCCATTATCCCTGCATTGATATATGGGTTGAGTGCCGCAAAAATAAATTTTAAGGAGAATTATACGAGGTTCGGTTCTTGTTTATCTTGAGGAACCTAAATCATTCATTGAAAATTTATTGATTTCCCGAAAAATACATTAGTTACTATTCGCGTCAATTCATATTCCATAAATTCTAAATTTATACTTATGACGAGTGAGTGTACAATGTTGCATTATATTGTGCTCGAAAGCTGGACATGAAATGTGATTCAGATTAATATATCCAAATAAAATCTTGTAGTATTTTTCCGAACCTATGCGAATTGAAAAAAAGATAATAGAAATATAAAAAATATATAAATTTATAATATTTTTTAACTGAGGTATATTTAATTGAGGTAATAGATTTTAATATCAGAATTTAGGCAGTGAAAAAAGTATTTGTGAAATATTCTATTTGAATATTTACTTTCTATCATATCCAAGCGAATAGTTTATTTTTTGTTGCTTTTGCGTTGAACGAATTGTATTAGCAATAAAATTTTATAAAAATTATAAAATATATTTTTGAAAGTTTTATTTTTTAAGCTACGGAATTTTTTAATGATCATCATTTCTAGATGATGGTGATCACTCATCATGTCAACGTTACTGGGCACATTCTTTCAAATTGGCTGATGCTTATGCTCCATTATCTCCTCAACAAAAGGTATTCTTCCTCGGTAGTTGTTTTTAATCGGCAATTCTTTTTCAGTTCGCAAAGTTATTTTATTAAGCTGAATTAAGGCTAAATTTGGTTGAAATTAATAATTAAAAAGTCTATAATGTATTAAATTGATCCATCCTCTTATATTTGTTTTTTTTTCTTTTTCTTTTATTCTTTTGTTTTTTCTTATTCTCTTATTGACGTTGGTATTGCTTTTTTTCTTTTAACGATTACAATAAAATTTTATAGCTAATTTTTCTAAATTTCAGGATGTAGTGTCCAGTTACAGTTCTGTCGGTGCTTCTTGTCCAGATTTCATTTTTTATTCAGTCCAATCGAAGTATTCTCAAGTAAGTTTAAATTGTTGCCTAATAAACTAACCTGAAAGGCTTTCCAATAAAATTATATTTGAATGCGTTTCATGAGATAATAACATCTATTGAAGTGGTATGGTAATGTGAAGAAAACGGAAATTTTTGAAAATGATTTGTATCTGCATCGACGACTTTCTCTTCCAACACTGTCTTCATTGCAGTCTACATTTGGGCCTTGGCCAAATGCAGCAACTCCTTCAGATCATATTCCTATAGTTGCTGAGTTCACTATAGATTCTTATAGATAATCTTGGTTAGATTTTGCTTATAAAAATTTTTTAAACAATTAAAAATTCTGGAGTTTTCCTGTTATATTTTAATGACGATTTCATATCAATCGTTTCAGTTTATCTCGTTGTCTTATGAAGTGATATGGTGATCTGTTTGCTTTAGACCTAAATTGTTTCACTTACCATATGATTCATTTATTATTTTGATGTTTCATTTTTACTTGCATCTTATTCTTAATATGTCATTATAAAGATCGCAGTATTTATACTTATGAAAATGAAAATTTTAAAAAAATTTTACAAGTTTTTTTGCAATTTTTGGACAGCGATATTACGAAAAGTTCCAACAGAAGCTAGATTATGCATTGTTGATTGCTATGAGACCTCTGTTAATTTAACAGCTGAAGAAATAACGGTTAACACCAGTTTAAATATATTGTATAAAATATCGAACCCGAAGAAATTCTATCTCGGACAGTTGAGGTAACAGCTTAGCCCCGGACATAGCATTAAAAACAGAAATTTGCTTATACAGTGGCTTCGATGAGCAATGTTGTGCATTAGTGCTGCGAACTTTGATCATTTATTCCTGAAACAACTTAAAATGCCTTTCTGCATATACGCTTCCCATCATCAATTGATCCAAACGGTGTGACGTCAAGAGATAAAAGAGCAAATTAAGGTTTGTACTGTTAATTAGGAAGATTTGGAAAGCATAGATGGCCTAATGAGATAATAAATTCAGGCGATGGTTTAAAATGGTTTCTTTCGGTTGTGGAGTCGAGTTCAGATAAGGTCCTCTTTTATATCGAGTAAAGCCAGCCTAACCAGTAACCATGCGAGGTGTTTTAATCAGTAGAAATATCACATTCACGCATAGCCATAGCATTTTCATTTCTTCCAAATATCTGTTTCGAATTAGTAAATTTTATAAAATTCTCACTTTCTCAACAAAAATTGCATTTATTTATATTAATTAATTTTATTATATTAACTATATAATAGAAAATCTATATAATATTAAAATAAGATATATGAAAATGTACTAATAATAATCGCTTAGGAACATTTTACCCTTGTAACCAGTAGAGTCAGCCTAACCAGTAATGATGAGAGTTGTTAGAAGTTCTCTTCGAGCAAAAGAAAAGGTGACAATCAGAAAATTCAAAAAATCTCAATAGTATTCTGTAAAAACAACATGAATAAGCAATGAAATGAGCAATTAAATATACAAACGGAAAACCCGATTCATTAAAAACATCAAGGATATATTATGGAATTTCATTCTTAATACTGCCCATATGTTAGAATTATCTTGTTGACTGAATAATTGTTTCTTCGAAGCATTGAGGATCAAATCTCATTAATAAAAAGACTCAAGAAATACCTCCAATCGAATCGAAAATATGAACCGAATTTCGTACTATATTCTCAGTTAATGAAGAGCTTTCTTTAGGATCAGAGAGATTAAACTGAAAATAACCGAAAATTAGGAAATGATGTAACAATTGTAAATTAATTTTCATCGTGAATTTACCAGAAACCAAATAAACTTACATTTTTACCAAAGAATACTTGTAGGCGCTCTACCATTGCAGCAAATGCATTTTTCAACATATTTTGATATTCCACTTGGTCAACACCAATAGCTGCTTCATTTGCATCTAAGGCTTTACCACATTCGTTCATAAGGCAACTAAAAAGTATTTCATTTTGAAAAAGGTTTGGACATCGCAAATTCCGTAATTTTGAAATTTCAACTATTTGCATTTGCAGAAATATAATAGGAATGAAATAACGCAAAATAATGAAATATGAAATAATACATGAATGCATTTGCAAGACTTTTTATCCCATCATCTCCATAACGCTCAATTTGTGATGGTGTAGTGAAAGCTTCCGCATATGCAAGAGGTCCGATGTTTACCTGTAATACTTATGGTTAATCTACAGCATAAGTTATAATAACAAAAATTCGACATATCATAAGTCAAATTAAAAATCATACAGTTGGTTGGATAGCCCCTTGAAGTAACAACTGTAATCCCTTTATATCCAAATTTTCCGAAATTCCTTTTTTCGTTGTCCCTACAAATTTTGTTGAATCCAAAATCCGCCGTATTTGCTTCGCTTTGAAAAGCAATTTATCTCTAGCCAATTCTAGCGGTGATAATACTATTTCAGCCCGATTAATAACGCGAGCTCGGCGTCGAACATTCGGAAAAGGTAAGTCAACTAAATTTTGCATAATTAGCGCAACTGCTATCAAAATAAAAAATCTTTGCCAAAGGGAAATCTGAAAATTTAAATGAAACTATAAGTGGGCGAATTAATGTAAGCATGTGGCCTCATAGTATGTTATTCTATGTAATACGAATTTCAGATGGACGTTTATCCAAGAGAATGTATTATAAAAAAAAATACTAGCCGGTCACGAAAATACGCTTCAAGCCTTGTCGAGCCACTTCTGGAGCTTCTGGATATAGCTCGTCAATTACACTCATTTCGTAAAAAAATTTTTGAATATTCGTATGTAAATCGAAATCTGATCGATTAACACCATCTTTAAATGGTTCAACATGTGTTAATTGAATATAAGCTGTATCATCCTTCAAATCCTCCTTATTCAACTGCAAAACATTTTCATTTTCAGATAAAATCCAGGGAAAATTCATCAACCAAATCTGAAGCCTGTTAGGTGAAAACTTGAAAAACAAGAAAATGAAATTTGAAAACATTCCACAGAGTACAAAAAAATTAATTTTAAAAAATATGGTTTCATCAGTACCTCGCCTTCAGCAACAATTTGAATTCTTTCATGGCCTAATGCGAAATAATACATTTCTTTCATTCGTTCATATGCTTCCGCAAGTGATATCAAACCCGGTTCTCGATAAATCCATTCTGTATTATGATCTTCTCTATAAAAAGTGCTATAAACCTATAATAAAGTAATATAAAAGAGTAAACTTTGTTCTAAAAAAAGAAAATGCTGAAAAAATTATCTTTTTATTTTTTAAACTGATCACAAAGCAAAAATGCAATAAGAAATTAATAGTAAATTAATGGCACTTGAAATGATTTTGTCCATAAAAAAAGATTTTAAAATAAGTTCCAAGATGCCGCTTTCCAGTGATTTTCATCTGTTCTGCTAAACTGTATGCTTTTTGCAATTCTGTATAAACTTTGACTAGAGACTGAAAATAATTTATTTTTATCTATAAATAATCTATTTCACAACAAAATCTAATACATATTGTTAGCAAAACCTCGAAACTTGCCAATAAATAATAAATAAAAAGATTTTCATCATTACTTAACAGCATTGGAAATGAAATAACATTAATATATCATAGCTTACTTCGAAATCATTTTGTTGTTCAAATACAGGTATCGCAAGTCGATAGATCGGCCCAATCGCTTCGTATCGCTCAGCGAAAAATAATGATCGGACCACTTTTTCAATAGTGGATGTATAATTATCCTTTAGAAACCGATAAATGAATTCATTCAAGGAAAGGAATAATACAGATTGATCAAAAAAGAATAAGCAAATGCAAAAAAACAAATGAAACCAAGCAAAATCCGGCCTGTTGAATGATTGCCGAATGTTTATCAAAAACTTTTTCGTCCTTGGTTATCGTCTCACTTATAGCTTCGAATAACTTCCAATCAACATCAATTATACCTGCAAAAACAATATGCCATGTAGCCATAACTATAATGAAAATGTAACCTTCATCGCATATTCAATCCCATTTTTTAAAAAAGAAATTACCATTACCATTAAAATATAATTCTTTAGCAATAATGGCAACTACATGTGCTTGACAAGCAGCTGCTTCAGCATAAAACCGTTCTCGAATATGCGTATTAGCCAGACTTTCAAACCATGCACTTCGTAAAGCTGCCGAACCGCGATAGCTATCAGCTAGTTGCACGTTCAAATCCGCAAGCCTTATCTAAATTGTAATTTTTTATAATCCAGTATGATCTCCTTATTTTTTTAACAGCTCCCACCATTACTGAATAGGCTGGTTCATTGGCTTATAATAGTGAGCCTTTTTTTTCCTTTAGACCAGGTACCATATTTGAAAGTAATAAAAGCCACTTGTATATCTTATATTCTATCTTTATATTCTATTCTATCTTTATATCTTCTATCTTATATCTTCCTTATATCTATCTTCTATATCTTCCTTATATCTTATATTTTCTATCTTCTGTTGACCATGATTAACCATGTTTCATGGCCATATAAGAATATTGTATGTATAAAAGATAAGTGGGGACTTCCATGGTGATTTCATCTGATTTCAGCGACAAAGGTTTCGTATTAAAGATGAAGTTTCGACTTAGCCAGCGGAACCAGTCAAACCAAAAGTGACGAGTGCGTTTAGAAAATGAAAACTTTGTAAGCAGGAAAATGCATAACTAAACCCGCCTAAACAATGAACTGGATGAAATCTAAAAAAAATCGAAATTCCAAATGAATGCAAATGTCGTACTGGGTTATTGGCAGCTTCACTTAAAGCACCAGTTGCTGATAATATACCTTTTAATTGATAAATTAATTCCTGAAATTTACGATTATCAAAAAGAAAATAAAGAAAAAAAATAAGAAAAGAAAAGTTCGTAGAAATAAAATAAAAAATACCTGAACAGCTCTTTCGAAAATTTTTGGTTTCATTTCGGTTGTTACATAGGACTCTAATAACGCTAAACCATTTTCAAAACGGATACTATTTGCCAGAGGAACTTTTCGCCCCAATAACCTTAACTTTTTATATTTCTCAATTTTTTAAGAAAAACATATATCTCTTCTTGGACAACGAAATTTGTATAAAACAATCAATTTTAATTCAAAAGATGTGATGTAAAAATTCTTTCTCTAAATATTCTACAATTTTCGAAAGAAAATATACCGAGAAAGGGCAACACTTGTCTGAGAACCTGGAGGACCAAGTCGTTCTATTAAGGATATGTTTTTCATAGCAGAATTTCGGATATCAGTAGGAACCATATTAGCCACCGTTTGACGAGCTTTATTACAAGAGAAATATTAAATAAGAATATTTAAATAATATGAAAATATTAAATAGGTTTGGAACATGAATAAAAGAAAAATAAGAAATATACCAAGTATCAGCGAAGCACAATCATATCCATTCTTTAACACAAGATATAATAAAGCAGTTGAACTGCTCTGAATCGTAGAAAATCGACTATTAAGTTGAAGGAGCAATCCCTCAATCAAAGCTGATAAATCATTAATTGAACCATTTTCGAAAAGTTGTGAACGAAACTAAAAAACTATTGGCAAATGAAAATACTAATTAAATAGATGAGCTCAATGAGAAACAAACCAAGAATGGTGTTTTCTTCCGCATATCGATGAAAAAGATCGACAAAAAAGTGCTTTCTGGGTATTAGGAAGAAAAAAATAAAAAAAAGAAAGAATAGGCGAAAATGACTCTTCACAGTTGAGAAAGGGAAAATATCTCATAATCATAACTGAAAACTTTACTAGATTAATAAAATCAGCTAAAACGGAAAGTGAAGTTAATCGCACTGCCTCTGTCCAGTGATCGCCAAGAACTGATAACTGAATTGAAAGTAATTTCGAAATAGTTTTTTCGATACCAGGATCCATCAGAAAGTTCAGACGAGTCTCAAAAGAGAATTTAAAAAATTAAGAGATTATCTTTTCCTATATTATGCATAAAAGGGAAAATTTTATGAAATTATAAATTAAAGTAATTTAACAATGATAAAGGATTAAATAAAAAGATTTATTTTGAATTTAGATTGAAAACCATAGCTTACCGAGATGTATTCAGCCAAATCCCTTACAATATCCAGCACTGTAAGAGCTATTTCCTGAATTAAATTCGACTCTTGAATAGAACTATATAAAGTGGCTTCGCCTGGTTCCGTGATATGGATACTGGGACCTGATAAATTTTGTCAGTAGCTACTCAAAATGAAATATCGAATATTCAAAAAATGAAATGTAAAATTTTCATTGCAATTTACTGGAAGCATTTGCAACAACTAAAAAAAAGCACTTCCGATTATTTGGGCTTCTGACGACGAAGATCCAACCGATGCTTGATCCATTATGACGCAGCGACTAATTGATGCACTTCCCGGTGAAATGCCAGCATGGGAGAAATACAACCTAAAATTTAGTTATTAGAGTCTTTTATTATTATTATATAATTTGTTATTATACATTGTAATAAAAAACTAAAAATTAAAAAAGTTGAAAAAACAAAAAATTACAAATATTTGAAATCTTCAATATTTCTCTCACTTCAATTTATCTACTTCTTTTATTATTTATTTATTATTATTCATCTACTTCTTTTGTCGCAATTTTAATAAATTAATAAAAGGATCAAAATAAAAGAATGAAAGATCCAATAACAAAAAATATCAAATATTAAATACCAAAACCATCATATTATTAATGCATAGAAAACATAATTAAACCGAACTTGTTGTTTGCAAACTTCAAAAAATCCGTCTTTCCACGATATCGAAATGTTGCTAGAATGACTTCAAGAAGATTTATGAAATCCGATAGCAAACCTTTGGATTCAAAATGAGACCATAATAGTGGAAGTATTTTTCGAGGCAAATTATGCAAAATAAAAAGTACACATAGAAGTATATCACTTGTTTCTCTCTAAAAAATCAAGATATAAATAAATTATTCATTTTTATTATATATATTTTCAAATCAAAACTCTTTCTATTCTATTAAGCTCTATATGGCCCGCACGCAGAAAACGCTGGTAATGCGATCCGTTGTCAGCATGAAAACTCACTGAAAATTCCAAGTGTTCCTTCCAACACTGCTGCAGCTTCACAAAACATGTCAAATATATGTCAAATACCATCTAATTTTATGTTGACCTATTTTTCAAATTTTATAATAAAAAATAAAATAAATAAAACTTTTTGATTTATTTTTTTATTTTCTACATTTGATTATACTATTTAGTTTGATAATATTCATTTTGAACAGAATTTATAATGTTCATAATGTTTAAGAAAATCAAAAGGTTGGATATCTTTGACCTGAAAAAATAATGCAAGAAAATGCAACTGATCATCAAATTGAAATTATTCACCTTAAATATTTATATTCATTTATATTCATTTCCATCTTATCGCCTCCTTAAGAATCATCAATGGAAAACAACGGTGAATAACTTCAATATAACTCTCGTTTATCACTTTATAAAGTTTACCCTCTATTTTTTTTGCATTTTTTTGCATTTTTTCATTCTTAAGTTTTTTTTTTCTTTAATATTTAATATTTATATGTATCGTTGTGAAATGTCGGCTACCTTGTCCAATTTTTCGGCAAGACCAGCAATATGCGTTTCGCAACTGATTGGTTGGGATGAAGGATGATATGAATGATTTCTCTGATGCATAGATCTTGCTGGTTCGGAAAACAATGATTCAAAATCACTTCGAATGGAATTTCGGAAATCAACAGTTAAAGAACTCGCTCTTTCGCCTGATATATTTTGTATAAATTTTATATAAACCAAGGAAACTAAAAAAAAAAAAGAAAAGTGAAGACAATATAATATTTAATTTTACAAAAAGATTCCGTATAAAAAAAACCGATGCGCGAAACAGCATTAACAACAGAAGATTCAACAGGATCGCACTGTTGCGAAACAGATTCCAGTTCATTAAGATTCTCCATCGCCAGGTGCAACAGAGGTAGGTAAAGGATGGCAATTTTTCCTTGAGCACTCTATAATTTCCACATTACATCACAAAGAAAAAATTTATTAAACTATGGTTTTAAAAATAACAGAGCCAGAAATAATTTGAAATAATTTTCGAAGTTCGCTTTTCGCTTTTAATACATTACTTCCGTCGATGGAATGCAAATATAGCATCCCAATTAGTTTTCTAGAAAAAAAATCTAAATTTTACTGCACACTTAATATTTACATCATCCTCTATATAGAGATAAATTTAAAAACCTGCCTTACAAGCATACCGCTTATCTCTAGCATGTTTGGCAAGAAGTTTTGTGACAACTTCAATCACTCTTCTACGATACTCTCGGGATTCTCGCAAAGAAGCTCTCAGTTCTTGCAGCAAAAGACCAACGAGAAAATGATGACGACAATATAATTCCGACAAAAAAAATTCATCCGAATAATTCACTAAAAAGAAATTAAAATATTTTCATCAGCGCAAAAGTTGTAAAAGTTATTAAGCACTAAAATAACCATAATTTTCATATAAATAAAAAAATTAAATAAAAAGGAAAATTTGAAAAACTTATTGAAATACATTGTACATGATCGGGAAAATCATTACAGCTCGTATTGAATGTGAAGATTTTTGTGAAAAAACCTGAGAGAAAGCGACCTTCCTCGTTCCCTGAAAAATTGAAAATCCGCATCTTTGATCTTAAAAATTCAAAATTTGTATGGAAAAAAGAAATATTACCAGATGATTGCAGCAAAGCAATTCTCTCCCAATTTTCAAGAAAGGTGATAGGACATACTGCGACAATCATCGAGGAATCAGCCTACTAGACATCTCAGCAAAAATTTTTGCTTCCCTGCTACTCAACAGACTTATGGAAATACGAGACAACAGGATGCGCCCTAATCAAGCTGGTTTTAGACCAGGGCGCGGTTGTGCTGACCAGATATTCACGTTAAGAAAGGTACTGAAACATCGCTTCAAATATTTGTAACCCATTGTCACGTGTTTCATCGATTTTGTGGCTGCCTTTGATTCAATTGATAGAGTTGCGCTTTGGAGAGTGATGGAACGTGACAGTGTTCCAGATAAAACCATTAGACTTATAAAGGCATTTTATGAGCGCTTGTCGACACAGGTCTGTGTATATGTGTATATGTATATGACTGATTCCTTCGAAATAAGAACAGGTGTCTGTCAGAGCTGCGTCATTTCCCCCACAATATTCAACTATGCGATAAACTGGATAATAAATACTGCTTGTGGACACTGCACTCAAGAGGTGTCCGAATTAGTCCAGAGCATCGTATCACAGATCTTGGATACGCTGATGATGTCCTTTTTGCTGATATAACGAAATGCAAGTAATACTAAATAAGTGTCAGAAATTGCAGCAAGAATCGGACTCAGGATCAATGCAAATAAAAAGAAAGTCTTTTCGTCTTATGTGCAAGAAGCTAAATGCCTCCTTTTGTAAATTCATTGCCGATTGAGGAAGTGCCCGATTTCAAATACCTTGGGTCCACTCTAATACCAAATGGACAGGCAAAAGATGATATTACAACTCGGATCACGGAAACTAGAAATGCGTTCTTCTGGTTGACGAAACCTTTATGGAATAGTCGTGAAATCACCATAAAAACAAAAGTCCCCATCTATATTGCCGTGATCCGTTCGATCTTATTATATGGTTCTGAGACATGGCCGATGAGAGTGGAGGATATTAAGAAGTTATCTGCCTTTGACCACTCTTGTCTAAGGTACATTTTATGGGTCCGTCAAACGGACATCACATGATCGCATCCACCTTCGTTCAAATACCACTTGTATTAATAATATTATCACAGAGCATCACCTTCGCTGGTTAGGTTCTCCGTCATCCACTACGGGAGTTGATGATATTTCGTCATTTGCTTAATCTTGTGATGGGTGATGTCAAAAGCGAGGTGGGCCAATTAAGATCTGAATTGATACGGTGAGAAAAGATTTCGAACGTATGAGTGGACCAACAATATATGGACTTTGACGATGGAAAAAGGAATGGCTTCCATTACTGTCGACGATGGCATCAGATCGCGCCGCGTCTTACCTTTGTAGCCTAACCAGTAATAGTGAGAGCTGTTAGAAGAAGAAGAAGAAATTCAAAATTTGCATAGGATGTATGAAACGAAATTATAAAAATTACTTGAATCATTATTTTGCCTTTCCATACAATTATTTCTTTCCTTCACCAATTTACCATTAGCATCCAATAATACAGGAAGAGAGAGGGGCAACCAGTGTTCATGTCCGGCCAAAATTCGAAGTAATTCCAATTTGTAGTCTCGAAGAACCTAAAACTGCCAAGATTGGAAAATTAAGTCAATTTCGATTTCATTCACCGATAATATCATCTCTAAATATTTCATTTTAATATTTTAGAATAACGATAATTATAATAAAATTATGCGTAAAAATAATTTTAAACCCCAAAGCAAAATAATAAGGGGCTCGGAAATCAAATAAATAAAATATGACATAAATGCGCCTCTTCGATCAAATTTAAAAACTGAGAATTGGTACCTTTGATTCATTTTTATCTAATTTTTCAATGGAAGAAAACATCCAGGAGAAAACGGCGCCTCGGTCCATAAAACTCAAACAACACTAGAATAATTCAGCGATAGGCATCAGAAAAAAAAAACATTTTTCTATATAATATATTTAGAAACGGTGGATTTCTATCAAGCGAAATTGCCAAATCACAGTAATTATTTATGTTAATGATGAAAAACTTTGATGAAAAAAAGAACACCTAAGAACTACTTATATTCATCATAAATTATGCAATAAATATTCAAATTTAAGGAGAAAGATGAGATATAAGAAATACATAAAAATTTGCGAAAAAATAATCTTAAAAGGTGAACTCGTAGAAAATAAGCAATAGAAGTATTTGCGATTCGACATTCTTGAGGAATATCTCGATGCTTGCTAATGATTAAAGAAAACAATTCTTCAACCATAGTTTTGCTACGATAGAGAAATTCAGGCGAGAAACGACTTCTACGCGGAAGCTAAAAGTAATTTTTTCATTAATTTAAAGAAAAATTAAAAATAAAGAGGACTGTACGGAAATTTTAAAATCACATACTTTGTGTAAGTTCAAATCCAACACCTTTTGTGCCATACTTTTTGAAAAAATATCGAGAAAGAACCATAAATGACGCAAAATTGGAGCTAATATATCAAGATCGTCAGAAAATTTGATAATCTGCAAGTAAGTAATTTTAAAATTAAATGTGGAAGATACCCTTAATAATGCCCACTTACCCAGGAGGGCAAATATTTTCCAACTGATGAATGTGTCGTCTCGTCTTCAGGACTTGTTCTAGTTTTTACGGATATTGGCTGAAACGTATTGCGAATAAACGATCGAAGAAATATTTCTTTTCCTGTCTTCGTAGCTCTGTCAATTATACCGACTAATGTACTGAAAAAAAAAGCTGAAATAATTCGATATGACATTTCTGAAATAAAAAATTGACGCCAAATGGCGAAAGCAAATGTTATATTTAGGATTGGCCTGAGCTTTAACCATGGAACTTCAGAATATCTCACTCTACTGGTTCTTTTTTTCTTTATGCATGTTTCATTATATATAACATTCGGAATCCCTTTGCTAATTCGTTATCTTATACAGCACTTATAATTCTTTAGAAAATCTGCAATTCTTTTCAATCCTTAATAATGATTGTTGGCAGGAGAACTGCTAATTCGAATTATTATATTATCAAATTTATGACCCCAACTGCTTTCGCCGTTTGACAACACTACACCTTCGAAAATAAAATGCACCTGAGACAACCATGCGCCATATTTTCCGAGACGGAAACACATAATAATAAAAGTAACCGATTCAAAATCAATGGAAGATATGGAATTAATCTGTTAATTTCAATATCCAGTAGTGCCTAAAAAAAAATCAAAAGCAATAAAATAATTAGCCTAAAAAGAATTCTTAAGTCTTTCATGAGTTTCTTCGAAATCCACATCAATAATTCAATTGATTATTTCAAAAAAAAAAGTTTTAGCTTACTAGAATGCAAAGCTATCAATATTTCCCAAAGCTAAAAACAAAAAAAAATAATTGAAAAATAACAAATGAAAATAATATATCTCGGAATGGTTGCTAAGCAAATAATGGAGATAAAAGTTGCCAATCTAGTAATAAAGAATAAAAAAACCATCGTAAAAACAAAGCATAATTTTTATTAAAGGTTGACATAAGTGCCACAATCAGGGTTACAAATGAATTTTTAAAAAATTTTCAAGCATGAAAACCAGTATCAAAAAAAAAGAAAAAAATCTCTGCTCCCAAATCTCACTGTATTCTTTTAATACGAATCCTGTTACATTCGCTAAATTCCCATTAAAAACGTTTAAAATCCTCCCATTATAAAAGAGAAACAGAGGTGAGTACAAAGAGCACTCTACAAAGATAGTTTATTCCTCCTTAAATCACAAATGAATAGAAGCGACAACGAATATTTGGCTATTATACTCGTATGGTTCTTTTTATGAAGGATATAAAAAGATGTTGGCTAATTAAAGCAATGTAATTAGCTCTATAGTTAAAATGAAATCGTTCGTCAAGCAGCTATTTGGAAATGCAGCAATAAGGTGGACTTTCAGAAAATGAAGGTAGCTTTACTTTTAATAGTAGCTTTATCAACATCAAAAAAGTGAAATCGAATCCGAGCTATAACTCAACCACACTGTCCCAGTAGATGACCTAACATGAAAGAATATTTTTAGAACACCAATATTAAAGCGTAACAACTGAAAAATATTGGACTTTAGATTGTATAGTATGGAATATCGAAATTTAATTCAATAATACAAATAACAAAACTATAAAAAAAAGCCGAGAATAATCGAAAAGAGGAATATGTGCCATTATCGACTACGAACTATCAAAAATACCTCGCCAATAACTCGTTCCTACCTTCTTAAAAAGGCGATTATTTTTAAATGAAAAGCGAGGTTCAAAAAAAAGAAAGTTCAATCCAAAAATTATGATCATGATCATAACATAATCAAACCTCAGCCTTTCGAGTAATATGTTGACAACATTTTTCGATCTTATCTTCATTATCATCAATACTCGGTGGAGCAGAAGAAGATAAACTTTCATTTCGTGCAGCCCGATACTAAAAATATGTGATACCGATTCGAAAAAAAATTCTGGAAAAAAAGAGGAAAAAATGGCTGAAAAAGAAAAAAGGAAAGTGGATCGAACCATCCTCGAAAAAGTGGAAAGTGTAAGAAAATACAATACATTAAAAGTAAAATTCACGACACAGATGGCAGAAATCCGGTTGCTTTCTAGGACATATGTTTTGTAAAATGTTAGTATTTTTTAAAATCCCATATGATATCGAATACAGTTGCAGTTTTTCATAATTTTCCGTTAATATTAAATAAAATCATGCAACTTCTCTGATTTCAAAAACCTTTTAAAAATACAAGAATAAAAAAAAGCAAAGCAAAAGAAACCAGAGTGCTGGGTCAATAATTTTAATAAATTTAATTTCTACAGAAAATCATTGGACTTTTGAAAATTATTTCAAAAATTTTTTTAAAAAAATGAATTCTTACAAATATTTTATCTACAGCATCAGGGATGACTCCAGCTCGTTGTAATCTCTGACAACTTTGAAAGAACATTTGCAAATTTGGTTCGGAAGTAAAAACAGAAGAGATAAGGCGCAGACGTATTCGAAAAAGAGGTTTACCACCATCGACCCAGCGAATATCAGGACCAGAATGCTATAATTATTTGTCATATTTGATCAAAAAAATTTCGTTTTTCTTTGCTGCATCAAAGAATTAAAAATTTATAACTCCTTTTCCCAGTCCCAGTGATTGGTAACTGATATAGTCCTTTGGTAATTCAGATGCGACAGGAAGAGCTACTTCCTGTTCATCACTTTCGATAACTAAACGATCACCTTTCACAAGAGGCAACCATGCATATCCGATAGCACTTTCAATTGTCTGAAAATAAGTTCACTTATTTATTCATTTTAAATGGATCGTTTTAAATACGTAACATCAAAAAATTAAAAACTTAGTGGTACAAGATTTTAGTAGTTTCGTATACGCTATTTCGACTAAAATCATAAATTTCATTCCTTACCACGATGATAGTAAACCTAAAATTAAAAGTGAAATTAAGATGTTTTATTCGTGGGTGATTCTCTGACAAACAAGTGTGACAATCAGTGGATTTGAAATAAATAATTACAAAACAATTTACAGATCTATACTTAGGAAAAATTTATAAAGAAATAAGAATTCGATCTACCTCATTTGCGGATTTTAAAGATAGTGAACCACCAACAGATACATGAGTGAAAGTAAAAAGCAAATGATCAGTTGGCTGAAGTGTAACTGGTAAGCGAATTTTAATCTAAAATAAGTGATTTACACTTAAAACTATTAATAAAATTAATAAAATTAAAATAGTAAATTGATACAATATTCTTGAATATTCTTAGTTTTCAAACTAAACTAGAAAAGATAACATTGAGTCACTAAATATTGATCAAACTCAAGATTTCCAACTGAAACTAATTAATATTAATATTTATATTTATGTGCAGAGATTAATCAAAATCAACATGGTAATTAGAGTTAAGCCAATAGGTTCAATAATATAAGTTTTAAATTGTTCGAAAGATGTTATTGCTTCATTTAAAGCTGAAAAGATAAAATGGATGAAATTAATTAAAAATGAATGAAAATTTAAAATATAAAATAAAACATACTTCGTCACTAAATAAAGGGCATTGTTCATGATAGTGTATTGCGGTATGTGCAACTCTTACAAAAGAAACAGGAAAAACAAAACGGTTATAAATTACCTAGAATAGAAATGTTAAAAATATTATATATGGTATAAAAATATAATAAAAAAGGAAAAAAAAGATGAAAGCAACAAGAATAAAAAGCATTTACCTCAGATATCTTCTCATTTTGACCTTCGAAAGAAACAAAACGAATACTGCAAGCAATATTGCGAGCTTTATTAAAAACTTTTTGGTTATCATATTTCAGCATGAGGGGATAAACATAAAGATTATTGATGAAATTTGTATGTGGTTCAGCACCAAAATTATTAAAAGATTGAGCTTCGAAACAAGCCGATAACGACGAATCCGATGCCATGTTCCACGAACTTGAAGGCATAGAAGTTGAATTGATCTGCACTAAAATGAATAATTAAAAAGTTTTTAAATTTTAAAAATATAATAATTCTCAATTTTTCATTTCGAAAAATATTTCAAATTTTTATTATTTTTATTTTTATTTATTTAATTTCATTTTTTGAAATATTTTTTAAATTCAAATTCAAGATACTTTGATGTTCAATAATTTTTGAAGAAATTTCCATTTTCGCAGTTATACTTGAACCAGGAATTATTGAAAGCTTTCCAGATTTCTCATTTCTGAAGTAAAAGTACCATTTCACACTGACCACTCTACTTCTTCAAAAAAATTTAAAAACATACGAATAACGTGTGAAATCAATCAAAATTTTTTGAAGATCCGATTCATTAAATTTATTATTATCTGAGCGAAATAATTGCAATTCATCAGGTATTCTTGTATTACAGCCAAGCATGTCTTGATAAATTGATCTAAAAATGGAAAATCTGACAGGCAAGAAGAGAAATGTAATTTTATAATAGATAATTAAAAGCTGAAAAACCTGGCAGTCCAAGCAAACGGCATCCGATATTCCGATAATTTATTACAAGCTTGAACAAGCATTTTTTGCAATTTCAAAGTGCTCTTAAATTCACCAACAGTTTTCATATATGCTTCGCCATAAGAATCAGATGATAAAATTCGCTCAATACAAATAATTAAATAAATATCGACGTGAGGTTCCTCCACAGAAAAAACTACCTGAAAATAAAGAGCAGTCAAATCAAATTGATTAATTCAATTAATTCAATTAATTAAATCAATTCGATGAGAAAATAACCTTATTGATATTTGTGTCAGCAAGCTGCTGCTGAAATATTCCGTAATTGATATCATGCTTCAAATCTCTTTTTTCCACTGAACTACCATTGTTCTTTGTATGCCCTTTAATCAAAGCATTTATTTCGTCACTATTCGGATTTATATGAAATTCTTCTGACAAACGTCGACCAGCTCGAGCATCGAATATAAAAAATCGTATAAAAAAAGGCTCGATCTGCAAGTCATTTCGAATTTTTTAATCGTATGAAACCAAAAAGTACGTAATATGAAAAAATCCAATCAGGCATTTAACATTTAACATTTAATCATTTAAATATTTTTCGAATGGCGCCATTAATGACATTAATTCCCCAAGTGATTCTATGATGGAACAATACCATAACTAAGCAGAGACATCTAAATAAATGTTTAAACAACGCAAAAAGATATTTATTATATACAAAAAAATAATAATACTTGTTTATTTTCTGTATTAGACACTCGCACTTTTAGATTAAGCTTGACGAATTCTACGGTGAAACGAAAAACTATCTTGCTTCCATTTGCATTGGTCGTGTCAGGTATATACTGCATAAATAAACTACTTTTGTTTTCAAATGGTTCCGACAGCAACTAAACCGATAAAATTTTGATTAAATTAATTTCAAAGGATTTATTGCAATTTTATATTGTATGAAAAAAATTGCTAAAATTAAACCAACTTCACTGCAATTATATAAAGAAAATAAATTGCATCGGGTAACTATGGGCGATTTCAATGCTCTCGTTATCGCATTTATGCCAAAATATGTTCGATTTAAAATTTTTCCTGTAAGATTTTAAGCTATAGAAGGATTGAAAAGAATGCAAAATAAATAGAATCAACAAATTTAAAAAATAAAATGTTTTATTTAGATGTTAAATATTTACCATAAAATTTTCCAAAAAATTAAACGTACTTACTTGCACTGCTTAATGATGCATTATCACCACTCAAATTACCATCTGAATCTAAACTTCCACTGTCAGTAGGACTAATAGTGGATGAATTAGGAATCGAAATTTTCGAATTTCCTGAAGTAAAAAAATATAACCGGAAAAAACGAATTTTTATATTTTGTCTCGTATTACCTTATTTTATACGTATTTTTATCTTGAATTATTCTGAATTTAAAATTAAAAATGCTTTACAAAATTACCAGGACGACTCATTATAAGCGCTTTATTGATCTCCATGAACCACAGTCGCAAATCGCCATCTACATCTGCAGTTAATAATATAGATCGTCGTTCTATACCATGACCAAACACCTGAAGGCAATAATGAAGTTTCTCATATTCCACTCGATTTTTTTTCAAGAAAAATTAATTAATTTAAATAAACTAATACTTCAAGAACATCTCTTCCTTTCTTTGTTCCTAGAACTACTCGTTCAATAATGAACGGAGAACAAGTTTTTATTCCCTGTTTTTGTATTTCTAAAACGACATTACCATCGATTTCATGCTTTAATATGCAGTACCGTTTCTTAACATTCTAAAACAAAAAAATATTAAAAAAGGAAAAAATTCAAAAACAAAATGCCAGTTTCATTCATAATTCATTTTAAAATTCATTTGATTACCTTAAAGTTGTCAAGAAGCCCTGGATCAGGTATAAGCAATAAATATCCTTCATGAATATTTCCTGAGGCTGACTGTTTAGCAAAAGTCTGGAATTTGTAAAAAATAATCTAAGCGAAGAAAAAGCGGTAAGAAAGAAAAAAGAATTTGAATTAATCAAACTACTTTTTCTTCTTCGACCTCAAGGTCGGATTCAAATACGAGTGGCTTTAGTTCGAGAGCTGATCTGAAACAGATTTCCCCTTACCATCCATATAATTCATATTTTCGAATTTTTTGTAATCCAACAACAAATATTTAAAAACTAATGGCAATCTTTTCTACTAAAAATGAGCAGCTCACAAATTAATAAATAGGACGACTAACTCTTTATTGACACTGGAGAAAGCATCGCTGAAACAAGCATAATTAAATGTGACTATTTGATAAGGTGATGAATACAAGAATAGAGCTTCCTGAGTAAGTAGCCAATTCGCATCTGCAATACATTGGTGATCAACGAAAGGCGTAATTCTTCGCTGACTTGGCATCACTATTGACTTCTATAATGAATCTCTTAAAAATGAATAATGGACCTATAAAATATATATTTAGGCCATAATCAAATACAAAATACCAGATTCATCCGTAAGTTTCGAAATTTTTCAAAATTCAACAATATGAACCTTAAAGTTATCAAGAAGACCTGGATCAGATACAAGTTAGAGATGGATTCTACGGTATATCCGACCTAGAATGCTCAGAAAAAAGAGATGTGCACGCAACAAGCTGGGAAACTAGAAATTGCCTTCAAATATCTCTCTTGTACAGCATTTGACATGAAGCAGAAAATTATTAATAAAACAGCTGTAATTAACCATCGAGACCCAATGAAAAGATTCAATGATGCACCACCAGATAATATATTTGAAGATATAAATAAAATCTTTGCAACAATTCTTACTGCCACTATAACAGAAACTAATAAATTAATGTACGTAATTGGTGTAGCCACTGTAATTCTCGAAATGCTGGGTATAAAATCAAGAATAATAGTGGAATTCGGAAAAGGATTCTGGAAAACAGGATCAAATCATTATAAAAAGAAGTTAGCCAGTTGACCAGAATTATAACAGAAAGGTATAATTTCCGAATATCCGATAATATCCAAAAACCGGGAAAATATAAGGAACTACACTCTGTCAGAAACCCTCAAGATTGGTAAACAAAGATTCACAGCATTGACCTCTATGCTACACTAGAGAAACAGAGGCTAAAAAGTTAAATGCCCTGTTTTCTAAGAAACCGTCCAAGGAAGCTTATTCAATATTTATACTTCAGTGCAATATTTTAAGAACAGAGCCATCAGCAGCAGAAACTCTATAATACTGGAAGAATATTTGGGAGGAAAAGAAAATAAAATCAATCCAAAGTGGTTTCAAAGTCTGAGAATAAGCAACCTCACAGATGAACCAGCCATCATCACAATTGCTGACATCCAACATCGACTCAAAATATAAAAATATTTTCTTTTCCGGAACCCATACCTAATGGCTAAAGAAACTAACAGCGGTTCATGAGTACCTAACGACAGAGATGAGCCATCTACTTGTAAAAGGCTCTCACTCAAATTGGTTATGAATTCTTACCATATTACTATTATTTTATTTTATTTTTTTTCTTCCCTTCGGTTGAAAGACCATGAAATACCCTCAGCACCGTCCAACTACAAACCAATAACCTACCTACCCATAATGTGAAAGTCCTGTCAGGAATCACATCCACCAAGCTTCATGACCATATGAGCCAGTACATAGATGCAGTTCAAAAAAGCATTAGGTATAACACCAAAGGATACAAGCAGCTCATAGATAAGGCAGTCGCTCTAGACTCAAAATCCGGCAGATCAACATGTACAGTGCACCTGTGTACAGCTTGAACTAACTATGGGAAACCCTATGACCCAGTGTCCCACATATGGATCTGTAAATGTCTGACTCTATTCAAATTCAACAGGACCTTAAAGACGATTTATTAAGAACTCAACGGGACTATGGAAAACTTTTGAAATAAACTCGAAACAAGTAGCTATCAAGTGAGGTAACATATTGTTATCGCGGTGACATATTGTTTTGCTAAAGGTCTAAACCCTCTCAGTCAGATATTCACCAGGAACGAATATGGATATAAATATCGATATAACAAGAGTCTACCATCAGTCATCTTCTCTACATGGATGATCAAATGCAAAAGTGAACCAGATATTAAAGACTGATCATTTATCTAACATGAATCTACGAGGACATTGGGATATCATCAGGACTGGAGAAGTGTGATCGGATGGAAGAGAGGAAAAATGATTAGGACTGATAGGAAATTAGCAGTAAGGCATATAGGTCTAGCTGAAATTATTTTAGTATCCCACAGTCACATCGCAATTACCATGAGGAAGCAAGAAAATCATTTAAATATCACCAAAGATAAGATAAATTTTGAAGAGCCAGTTTAATGGGAAGAACAAAATCCATGCCATAAATATGTATGCCCTGCCAGTCACCAGATGGACAAAGAAAGACATGGGGATTGCTGATGTAAAAACTAGAAAATTCCTCACAATGCACGGAAATTTCCATACAGGAGCACTGAGCACCAGATCGAACGAAACAAGAATCCACCACACTAGACAGGATAGAATGATGCCAGACTGTACAAAAACGCCACAGGAACAATTCAATACTAATGGAAGGATTTAAAATGCAAGCAAGAACAAAGTACATTGAAACCAAGTACCTGGCATCATCCATAGGAATATCTGCCCCGCACAAGGCTTAGGTTCTCTCATGACTAAATGGGAGACTCCTCAAAAAATCGCAGAGAATAATGAAGAGATCTTCTGGAAATTCTCATCTAGACAAACAAGTAATGGCCAATTAACCAGATATTGTGGTAGCAGACAACAATGAGAAATCATAGCAATACCAAGTGACTGGAACGTCAGAAAGGAGAAATATGAGAAGAAGAGAGAGAAATACCAAGGGTTGAAAGATGAATTAAGAAAGATGTGAAAAGTAAAGGCCAAAATAATTCCAGTGACAATTGGAGCACTTAGAACGGCCTTTAAACTAGAAAAGTTTCAGGTTTCAGATTTCTATCCAGAAAAGTGCACTATTAGGAATAGCTAAGCTACTGCGTAGAACCCTTAACTTTCCAGCCTCTGGCAAAGGACCAGAGGTTGAGGATGAACAGCCACAGGTGATCAGAAAATTTTTTTTGTTTTTTTTATATACATGTAACGAGAATTTAATAAACACTAACAGCGATATCATCGCGAGGAAATAATAGTAATTCTCGTTGCGGATTATTTTCCAAATATGATGCATTTTCGGTAATGAAATTTTCATAATCGAGAGGCGAAGAGATGGGTGGCTTTCGCTAAAAAAAAAGATTATGCTGAATCCACTGTTGGATATAAGTGCACAATGATAGCAAAAGACAAATAAAGAATAAACCACTGGATTTATAGTGCTGATTGCAGATCGGACTGCTGCACGAGCTTCCCTTGCTTGTCCTGGTTTACCGACAGCTGCGCTGAACCTAAATATATATTTATATATAATGCATAAATACATTTATATACAATGCATAAATAAAAAAGATTAATAGGTAAAGGAAGGGTCCAAATCTAATCTGGAAAATTAAAACTCCACATGATCAAAACTCCAAAAAATATAGAATATCAGAAATATCCTAAATTTATACCAAGAAAGACTTCAAAAATCTGATCTCCTTTTACAGTAAGAAAACCTTAGAAGTTATCCGATTAATGGCAAAATCTTAGAAATGATTTCATCTTTTTTCCTCCAAAATATATGCAAATTTGTTAATTTAAAATGGAATTACTTAAAAATCTTAAGTTAACAAATTTAAAATGAATTTAAAAGAAAAAAATAACCTGCAAAAATCAATTCTCAAAAAAAAATTTTCGTAATAAAAAAATGAAAAAGCAAATATTTTAAAATAAAAATTCAAATATCCCTTGAGCTATACCACGCAAAAAAATTACCACAGTGGGATGAATTTCTTTGTTGGCAAATATATTTCTAAACCTTTCATCCAGATTTATTTTTTCTTCTTTTTAGACAAGGCTATCTGCGAAGAATCCGCTTGAAACGATATATTTTCTAAGCCTTGTAGCTGCTCCTTTTGAATTTCCTCTATTATTCTATAAACTTTAACGAGTTCTATTACAATTTCATTTCAACCATACCATGTTACTAGCAGAGACCACAAATACAAATAAAGATGATGAACCTGGCATATTGTTCTGAAGATGCTTCCTCACTCTGCTTAGCAGAGAGTTATTTTTGAATCAAGAAATGCTCGTTCAATTTTTTGTGGCAGATGAGGTTTCAGCTCTTCAGAAGCTATTGGTATTTTTATTCTCTGGTAATATCAAAACATATAGGAGGAATTCTCATCGTTTGCATAGAATTTTCTGATTCGAATAGCGATGATCGATAGCAGATAATGAACGACAAGCGAAGAAGTATTGTATAGGAATCAATGATTCTGTAGGGGTCCGCTCGTTCTTTTATCTCTTCATTTATCTTCGATACTGCAGCTGAATTCGCATAAGGAGGATGGTTCCATAAATTTTGTTAACATATAATGTCCATTTTGTTATGTCACGACAGAACCAATAAAAATTATTGCTTATGAGTCTTTGACCAATATATTCTCCAGCATCAAATTTACCTTTTTTGAGAGGGTTAAGGCATATCTAAAGTTCTTCTTTTTGAGAGGAAACAAAACAAAATTTAGAAACATTTTATTTGAACGGTGTTTTTTTAAACGGTGTTTTCATTTCCGAGGTCATTCTTTCCGTAAAAATTGTTCTCACATTCAGGGTTTTCACAGGATTTTGAACAGCTTCCATAAAGGAGGATATTTTATCCTTTAATTCGATCACAGTGATGGGTTAATGGGAAGATAATGATTGCCGAGCTCCCTAATAAAAAAATTCGACCACAGTTCCTGCTATTCTTCATCATCGACACTGCCTCTACTAACAATGCGATGATAACCGTGGCCTGGAATTTTCAAGGCTTTGTAGAGGTTGAGGTTTCAACTGATTCGAATGTGACAATGTAAAATACATAATACACAGATTTAATAATCCAATCCAATAATTAGTCAACATTTAAATCAAACCAGCCCTATGGATTCTCCTCGTAACTTTCAGGGATATACTTACCCTATGTGCTGGATGGACTTTTATGGGATCATCTAGGGAGATCGACGACCATTAGTTTAAATAAAATTCATATAAAACAAGACGAACTTTCTGAGATTTGTACCAGGTGATTTTTGTGATTTATTATCAAGTATGATTGTAATATCATTGGCTGATGAAGAAGTTAATGTTGAACGATGATCATCGGATAATGTAGAATATTCACTTCGAGTCGCTGTCGATCGAACCATTACTATTGTTTCCAGGATTTATTTCACATTATTAACTGAAAATAGGATGTAACGAAGTCATTTCTGAGGTTGTTTCTTATCCCCGCATATTTAGATTAGTTCCATTAACTACAATAGTAAAGAGTTAAAAGGTGAAGGTGGTTTACAGGTCGCTCTGAGGCACCTGAGAGTAACGGAAACCACTCCTATTTCCCCCTCTAAGCCCACAAGTCGCTCGGTAATCTTTATTTCGAAACCTCTCCCGACTGCATCACCTGACTATATTATCCAGATCCTTTCTGACAAGTCTTTCTCGCTTCTGACGCCATCGAGCAGAAAGACGAGCATATGCGCCCATGAGCGGCGAAAATGACTAGGACAAAAGCGTAAGACCACAGGACATCACGAGCCCCAGCATCCAGTCTACGACTGAACTTGATCCCCTTTAAAAAATAAGAGGAGTTTACCACAGAGAAGCCGTATAAAAGCGTATTAAAAAGAGAAGCAAATGGCAACAGAAAATAAAAGCCGCAATTTTACAAATAACGGCCACGGCCACGGTTTGACATTTCGGGCCGACTTTTTTGAGTTTCTATTTGAATAAATTTTATTCGAGAAAAAGATTTCAACCATTTCAGATTTGCGAAGTCCAAATTATAAATGTACCTCGAATTTTCTCACCATATGAATGACTGGACGCCACTATAAACCATAAAGCCATTATAATTTATAACCGAATTTCGAAAAAATGCGTATATTCCGATCCAATCGAGAATCAAAAATACTCTTACAGCACTATATTTCAGAAATAAAACCAAGTTGATTTGCGATATATATAATAATTGAGGTATTTGCTTAAATAAGGCAAAACGCCAACATGGAAAATGAAAATTTTTATTGAAAAATAACAAAAAAATAAATAGTAATAGTAAAATAAAAGTAATAGATTCTTTTGCGAATGAAAATGAAGAAAAACCACAAAAAATGTTAAATTTAATTTTAAAAATTTTATAATTTTTAATATTTAACTAGTGAAAGGAGAAAGTAATTAACTTAATTTAAAGAAATCAAATTAAATTGCAAAAAATTAAATTAATTAAATTAAATTTTTGTTTCCACAATCGCATGGATTTTCTTTGACATTGTTCAATATTTTATAACTGATTTAGTAAAATATCTGAAACGGACAAGGAATTAGCAATACTTTTCAAATTCAGATATTATTTGCTGTGGATGGTACTTTCCTAATATCCAGTAACATCCAGTGGAATGCATATTAAAAACATTTATAGATACAGTGAAATGAAGAAATATACTTCTTCTAACAGCCCTCACCATTACTGATTAGGCTAGCTCCAAGGATAAGACAAGCAGCGCGGTCCGACGCCATTGTCGACAGTAATAGAAGCCATTCCTTTTTCCATCGTCCAAGTCCATATATTGCTGGTCCTCCTATACGTTCAAAATTTTTCTGTATCAGTCCAGATCTTAATTGGTCCACCTCGCTTTTGACATCACCCATCATAGGGTTAAGCAAATAACGAAATATGCATCAACTCCCGTAGTGGATGATGGAGAACCTAACCAGCGAATGCGACGCTGTGTGATAACATTATTAATTCAAGTGGTATTTGAACAAAGGTGATCATGTGATGTCCGTTTGACGGACCCATAAAATATACTATACCTTAGATAAGAGTGGTCAAAGGCAGATAGCTTCTTAATATACTCCACTCTCATTGGCCATGTCTCAGAGCTATACAGCAAGATCGAACGAATCATTATATAGATACGTACTTTCGTTTTAATGGTAATTTCACGATGATTCCATAAAAGTTTCGTTAACCGGAAGAACATTTCTAGCTGTCGTGATCCGGGTTATCGTAATATCATCTCTTTCTTGGCCATTTCTTAGTATGAGATATTATAGTATAAGATATTTAAAATCGGGTACTTTCTCAACCGGCAATGAATTTATAAAAAGAGATTTAAATACCTTTCTTAACGCGAATATCTGGTCAGCACAATCGGCCAGATCTGAATCCAGCCTAATTAGAGCGCATCCAGCTATCCCGTACTTTCATAGGCTGTTGAGTAAAAGGGAAGCAAAAATTTTCGCTGAGACGTCTAGTGGGCTGATTCCTCGATAATTGTCGCATTAAGTCCTTTATCTTTCTTGAGAATTGGGAGCAGAATTGCTTCGTTCCATTCATCTGGCAATTTCTTTTTTTCCATATTTCTTTTTTTCCATACTAGAGAACACATTTATTGAAGGTACGTTATGAAGGACGATGGACAACACTTGAAGATGTCAATACTACTAAACTTTCAAAAACACCTAAAAAAACTATGCATTATAATTTGAGTAAACCACAGACACCAAATGAAAGGTCTATTCGATGCACTCATTTACTTATCGGTCAAGCAAGGAGATAAAATTAGAGAGACTAATATTTGCGATTCTTTGGACTTCGCCAAGCAGCAACATCATGAAACTCGAGGTTCGACTGTATTAGGCTTGTTTGTTTCATCGTAAAAATAAAAAATGTTGGTCCTTTCAACTGAATTATATGTTGCTTCGTTATAAATAAACGGAGCATTAAAAATAAATTTAAGGACTCATGATGTCCACGAGTGAGCCTTTGGATAGCGAGTCTTATCAAAATAGCCAGGCTAAATCCGGTTTTCATTTTTCGTTGATTTTCATTATTAGTGAAAGCGGAGAAACAAGTGAAAAGATTTTTCTACAGCATCCACTGAGGAATTGTTCGTGCTAAAGAGCGCAGCCAGTGGCAGATATCGTTTATGCTGAAGCTCAAGCTCTTCCAGTCAACGGTAGCTGTTTCTCAAAGAGTTGGCGCGAGTGCCACAGTAATACCTTTCAGGCTGAGAGCTACTGAAGTGACGCACAATCCGCGCTTTTAAAAATCTCTGCGAATTTTTGAACCTTTGGAAAATGTGCCATACTTCCATACTAATTTTGAATCTTATTTTTAAATTTTTCTAATTTTTAATTTTAAATTATTTCGCTTAATTATTTGGTTTTGTTAAGTGTTATTATTATATTTTATTGAGAAAAAAATATTTGGAATGTTTCTAAGAAATTTTCAAGTAAAGGAAAATGAAAAACGAACTTAAAATTCTTAATATATTCAAAGCAATAAAAATTTTCGTTACCACAGTACTCCCATATATCGACAAATATCCATAGTGATATTTCCTTTATTTTTTCCCAAATATTCCTTTAACCGAATGATAAAAACAATTAAATGAGTATTTTTTAAAGGAACACAATGCATCCTTATCGTCGACCATCTTTCAGATAAAAATACCTACGAAAGATAAAAAACACTGCGAATCTATGATATTTCATTTAAAAAAATAAATTCAAGTAAAAACTACCGAGTGAATCAAATTTCTCTAAATGCATAATGTGTGAAAATCTGAGACATAAACCATTTAATTCAATGAGCAATTTTTAGATCAATAAGTATTATACAAATAAAAGGTAGCCAGAAAATAATTATAAATGAAGCGAACCGGGTTTTAAGAGTTATCGCGAATCACTTCGAAAATAAAATGAGACAACAAAAAATACAAAAGAAATAACAAATGGCCAATAAATAAAAGTAAGAAACAGTATATCGCCCACAAAATGAAAGTTATTTCGAAAAACATAGCTTGCACATACATAACTTGCTAACAAATTTAAATCATAAAAAACAGTAAAAAAAAAGGAATAATTTCAAGCCATTCCAAAGTATGGTGAAGAATCAAAAGGCAAATTCAAATGGTCTTTAACAGCAAGAAAACCATTCAAAATAGATTTGCGCTAAAAGAAATATAAAAAAAAAAGCTCCAATTCACAAAAAAAAAAAATACTTTCCCCCCGCAATCTGCTTATTATTCCCTTTTAATCAAAAAATTAAAAAATTCCCAAAAATATATGATCATAAATTTATATAACTATAAATATATAATTATAAATATACACTGTATAAATGCAAATAAATACATAAATATGGTGATAAATATAGTGATACATATACACTGATAAATATTAGATATGTTCAAATCATATATGAATAAATAACTAATCAAATAATACCTTCCCAACATAAACAAGCCAGTTGACTACTAAATTTTTCTCAATTATTTGAAAAATATTTTCAAAACTCCAAAACCAACGGAAAAAAGAAAAGTAAATAATTTTACAAGGAAAAATGCTCGTAAAATTACCATAAATCAAACTTATACCTTAAAATTACCTACAATATCAAAAATAAATAAATCAAAGCCTATTTCCGCATAAAGTAGACATTTTTTTCTGACAAAATTCATCCTTTCAGGTTATGATCGCTCCTCTTAGCAAGTCGGAAATCAAATTTTGCCAATCAGTCACTAAGAGACAAAAATGACAACAAGTACATCGCCATCCACAATTTTGAAAAACGGTTTACTTCTGCCAAACCCCTGCATCGGCGAAATGAGAGGAATGGAAGAATAACCCTTCATGCGATTTTGTTAGATGACATCAAAGGCCATTTAAATTACTACTCCCATTATCGAATTCTCGAAAAAATTAATCATGAAAACATAATTTACAAGGAAATTCATATTATGTATAAAATATAAAAAAAACATAAGTAAAAGTAGGCAATGGCAAAAGATAGTGGCAAAAAAACGAATGTAAATATTTTATCAACTAAAAAACTTGCAAAAAACAAAATAAAACTAGAGGATGCTATTGGATTAAATAGAAAAAGGCCAGAGAAGGATTCACAAATAAATGATGAATGTGCTTCATAAAGTTTTCAGAATTCTCGTCAGTGAAAATCTAAATTTGATAACATTACAATCAGAATGATTTATCTTGAAAAATTAAAGCAATAAAGAGCATATAAAAAATTTCATAAAATACGGTGGATCGTTATTTTACGGTGAATTTTTAAAAGGACAAAAAAAATTAAAAATATAGAATAAGAAATAATATTAAAATTTATCTCATATGTAGATCATCAAATTTGATAAAACTATCACCAGCGAAATATAAAAAGATTAAATTATGGAAATGCATCATCACTTATCATCTTTCATCAGAAACATCTTTGCTTAAATAGCAGATTCAATACATCAGATATATGATATATCGGAATTTTTAATTTACTTTATTGTGCGATTCCGACAACACTTGGCAATGTTCAGTAAGCTCAATTTGAGTGTTTTATCGAAACCGGTTTCGTCAAAACCTCATCATCGACTTCGACATTCCATCGTTTGAGAAACAAGCTTGAGAAAGATATTTGTTGTAGCCGAAATAAAGATTGGGTTATCTTAAAAAGTCCGAGACCAATCTTTATTTCGGTTAAAGGAATGTAGAAAGAAAAAAAGAGAAAGAAAATACCTGAACATCAAACAACAAACTATATTAGCTGTTAAATAGCTATTAATCGAGAGTTAATTAATGATCATGTCTCCCCATGCAAAAAGTCTTTTTGATAGACGTTTCTTTCTAAACCATTCGATCAGATCTGGGTTTTTTGGATCGCACTGTCCTCGAAATCTAATAAAAATTCTTGATATTAAAATTTAATTAGTTTAAATTTCCAAAAGACTAGTACAGATATCGAATCAAAATATAAAATAACGATTCCATTGTTAGGAAAAAATAATCTAATTTCAAAATAATGTAATATATAGTGGTGAAAGAATAAATTACTTGTTGGGCTTGCAGTAGATTTCTTGAAACTCCAGAAATTTTGTCATTTTATCCCACTTATCATTATATACATCTGAAGAAACAAATTTGGTAAAATTGCGATCGTAATCGAGTAATGATGGTATGGCATAAACGCGAGAGCGACCATAAATAAATGTCACAATACCATAATATGCAGTACGAGGCATACCTGACTAAAAATTTCAATAAAATATAAATTCCTTATAGATCTTTAAGAACGAATTTTTCACTCAAATTTATGACGAAATTTTATAATATAAACCCTGATATCCAACATAAGTCCGACGGCTTTAGCTAATCGCCGATAATCTCTTGGAGTTCGATAAACAATCCGATAAGAATTTTCAGAATTTGATAAAGCGAATTGTTGTAATTCTTCAAACGAAACATTCCTGGCTTCATTCAGTCGTTCTACTAGCATTCTGAAATATCTGACTGAATCCCTAAAATCACATATCAATTTTGGTTTCGCATTCATCGACTAGTACGATTCTTCTATCAGATAGGCATGATAAAAGCAGCAATGATCCCCAATCGATTTTGTCAAATTTTCCGAAGAAATAAATAAAACAAATGCGGAATAATGACAATCAATAAGCTAGAAAATGTCAATTCAAAAATTTCAAAAGGTATGTAAAAAACACCTTACTTGTCAAATTTTTCTTTCGTTAAATATGAAAGATCAAGAAGAGAGAAATCAATAAATGAATCGGGAAGATGTATCGATGCCAGGTATGATTTATATAGCCCCCTTTAAAAAATTCAAAAATCGTCAAAAAATGATATCAATATTCCAATCTCAAATAAACTATTAAGAAACAATAGAAACAACTGCTGAGATTTCGGTTCTCTCACTAAATTCTTTCATTTAATTTTAAAAAATTTCTTGCTTTAAAGTACATAAATTTCCAATATATTTTTTAGTTATAATTATAAATTTGCAAGATACACTAAATAAAAAATTACCCGCTAGATCCTTTTCCAGCTAAATCGTTATTATGTGCTGTACGAGATACTTCAGGTCGAATGCAAACTCTATTCTTTCGAATATTTTGATTTCGAAGCCAATCATCCCAATATGCTTCGGGCCATGCACCACTCAGCTCTTTCCATAATTCAGATGTTAACATCCAACCTTCAACAAGTATTTTAAATTTCTAAGAAAGAGAATCTCTTCCTTAAAAAATGAACTAACAATTCAAGATAATATGACTATTTAGATTAACAAGTTCAACAATATAAGAATAATAAATAAGAATACAGGAATAATAAAATCTTCAAAAATAGTAAAAACAAAAAAATTTCGCTCAAACATTTTGAAATCTAAAGTTTAAAAGAAACAATCGGAATATAATTAAAGAAATAAACTTCTGGAGAACCAAAACATTTTTCATACCTAGACCAGGGAAAAAATCTGTTCTATAAAGACGATCACTTCGATTTCGATCTGTTATATTGTTACTACCATTATCATTCCATGCACTTATGCACCATATCGTTGGATCTTTTTCTAGCAAATATTTAGTTGATGCGAAATATGAGAAAAAGTCACATGCTATATCAAGGTCGTCTGAAGAAATATGAATGAAAAAAATATGTATTTATTTATTATTATCGCCGAACTAAAAATATGAGATTATATAAGTGTCAAAAATATTATTAATCTCGTTGCCCTTTATAATGTCGTAAAACAAATCGAACCTTCAGTTACAATCACTCTTTTATACTTCATTTCGAAAAATACTTTATCCAGCGCCCATTTGTAGTGTTGTGCAATATAGAAATAATTATTAGCCGATTTTTGAAAAGCTGTTGATGGATTAATACGATCTTTATGCTAAATAAAAAGTTATTTCCAATTATTAAATCAAGTTGATTAAATATCTGTAGTAAGTCTATTGGAATTAAGTATTTCAATCCACTTCAGTGGGAATTTTGTAATATTCAAAACCTCATCAAAAATTCTTATTTTAATTAATTTTTCTTAAAAAAAGAAAAATTGAGAAAATAATGGATTAAATTAAATTAGAATCAACTACTAAAACAAACGTGGATGAAAAAAACATTAGCTGCTTCATTAATAAAATCGGCAATTGCAGAAGTAACATCGGAATTGCTTCCATCTTGACTAATTACAACAGGAAATTCTGCTGGTGAGGGACGAAATCTGACAAATTTAACTGATTTAATTTAATTTAACTGATATTAAATTAAAGTACTTGATAAATTAATCATCCACTGCATAATAGAAGGTAGAAATAAAGGTAGATTTGGTAGAAATAATAAAGAGTTATCACAAACAAAAAAATAGAACAAATGAATTTACACATAAAATTTAATAACATTAAATCATTCACTATATTAAGCAATGGTTGAATAATTTCAATAAATACTAAAATGTACTCACCTATCTTACCAAACAGTACTTACCAAACAGTAAGGAATAAAGAATAAATCCTCTAACCAATCTATTTTATTCTTAATACATGAGCCGAACCCAAATTTAATGCTCTCAGCTGAATAAAATAGTATCGAACCTCAAAATTTGCTGAAGATGATTACGTATAGCTGCTGCACGTTTTGCTGCCATTACCAAAACAACTGTGACTTGCTTAGTGAAGGATAGTTGCCTTCTTGTCTGCAAACAAAAATAAAAAAATATAATGATTGATTGTGAATGATTTAATGTTATTTTCCGAGATACTCATTAAAATCTAATATTTTAAGATTATAATTCATAAATTAATCGAAAAAGTATTTATTGTAGTATAAATTTAAACCCTACCATATCCAAATTCGAAATATGAAATATGTAATGTGGAATTCGCATCCCTTAAGGACCAGGACATTTAAAATTTAAACAAGATCTGATTTATAAGTATTTACTGGTCTTATGGATTGGAGTATTTGAAGAATTATATAATCCATCTATAAATCTTTAAAATCTTTAAAAAGTATTGGAGGCACCTATTTGTAAGGCTAATCGTGGCTCATAATTTCTTTATACATAGATAGCATCAGCTATATATAAATTGCTTACTGATATATAATTTTTCACACAATTCGCATATAGTTTTAAACATAAATCAAAACATCATTTAAAATAAGTTCTCAATAAATTTTCTCTAGTGCAATAATTGTTTCTCCACTTTTTATATTTTTATTGTTATATCAATGTGTTTAATCTTTTTTTGTTGTTAATCCCAATTATTTCCCTCTAATAACAATTTTATCAATAATTACTTAAATTATAATTATAATTACTATTATTATAATAAAATTTTTTTCGTTATTTTTTGAATCTCATTTCGTTTTAATTCATTTTAAGTTAGCTTCTTTTTCATTAGCAAGCAATAAGTTTATCAAATGAATAAATAAATAAACAGGTTTAAAATTTCTGTTAAACAAATAAAGCTGAAAAATAACATTTAACATTTTTAGGCATTTTAGAGCCAAAATATGGTAAATCAAGTTTAATGGTCCATTTAGTTAATAATTTTGCTAATTTATAATTATCTCAAAAAGAACCGAAAAAATATAATTAAAAAAGATTCTATCATTCTTTTCATTCTATTATCAAATGTCACTATATTCTAAAAATTATATCTAATTCACCTTTAAATTATTTAATTTATTTCCTTTAAAATCCCTTAAATAAAACAGAATGACAATAAAAAAAATAATTGAAATAAGTACTTATATAATTAAGGATATTGCAAATTTTTAAGATTCAAATAATACTAACTTTAAAACCATTGTCGTTCAATAAAGCATCACTGTATGTATTAATAACTGTTGGTATTGCTATATCTGGAATTTCCAATATTTTCCGATCATTCATCTGAATAATCACAATATGAAGGATATTCTGAATTTCCCTTGAACCTATTGTAATTTCTTTTATGATTAAAAATTATTAACAGATAACAAAATTATAATTAACAAAAATAATTCATAAGATGAGCTTTAGACTCGAAAAGATCATTTTGGGCAAAAAATATAGCTAAAAATGATTTGAAATAATCCCAGAAGAAAACAAGAAATTGGGATTTGTTAATTTCAAAAGTTTAAAATAAAGGGTAAAGAAATGAGAAACTACGAATACCTGATAAACAATTATGTTTGATCTCTGTAAGCCTTGACGAATTATTAAAAAAATAATTAAAGAAAGAATCACAGAAATCAATAAGCGATGTCGTTTGATGTTAGCTGAAAGTTAAAAATTAGAAAAACAAAATAAGTGGTAAAAGATAAAAGAAATAAAGTTAATGAAATTAAAAAGCTAAGGATTACTTAAATCTTACAGAAGAAGAATAGGAGAAAAAAAAAAGATTAAGAAAAAGATAATGCTGATTTATCGAATTGGCGACACCGAAAGATCCACCGTTTCTTCCTGGCTTTCAACTTAGTAAATGATAATTTAATCAGAAAAACAAATATTTTTTAAAAAACAGATGGAACCAAGTGATAACGATGAAAAATTAAATGAACTGATCAGCTGACAAGAGAGAATAATTAAAATTATTACTCAACTGAACAAGCCGATTAACCGGATTATTCGAAAAGATTATCGAGAGCATTCGTAATAATGGAGCGATTTTAATTCTTTTCGCGCTTTATTTTCGATATAATAGATAAATAAAATAATATATAAAATAAACAAATAATCAAATAAATGAAAAATATTAATTTTAAAATTTAATTTCAAATAAATCTTCCAAAGAAATAATATAAAAATATATTTAAAAATATGAAAAATAAAAAACAAATTTTTGCGAGCAATACAATTCATCGTATGTCAACTCATTGTCCATCGAAATGACATATATATCGCCACAGGTTAAGCCACTTAGCGAAAAGCGTCAAAAATATCTGAGTTCAAATAACAGTTGGTGAGAAAACGGAAATAGAAATTTGGAATGCAAGTGGACGGTCCAGGTATATGCGCTTAGATGGCAGAAAAGAGGGCTTCTATTTCCTCTGCCTAATGACGCTGTGACTCGAAGCAAAAGATTTGAGAGTTTGGCCAGATGAATCAACTCACAGCGTGGTGTGGCGGTTAAAATAGGGGACAGCTAAAAGGGCGGAATTGGAGAAATATCGAAATAGGCGATTAATTTCGAAAATATTTCGTCATTTCGTATAAAATTTCTCAAAGACGTCTCAATTCAAAACATCAAAAAAAAACTCTCAGCCTTATTAGAGCTATCAGGTGTTTAACCATTGATAATTTTTGATAGTTTTTCCGTCTTTTTTTTAAAATTGATTAAGCTGATTATTAAAAAATCAACCCTATTGAGAAAAAACTAACCAATAAATGCTCGACGAACTTTGAAAACTATCGACATTTTACTAAATATATTCTCCCCTTCCCTATCGAAATGCACTGATCACTTATAGTTGCTTCTATATCACCCGTAAAACCCGATTTGTAAACATTCCTTCCAACCATTCGATCGCAAATAACTAACTACCAATATTTGTACAGTAATCCGAATTTCGTTTCAAAACTCACTTTTACAAACAAATTTTAAACGACCCCACGTCCAGGGAATGAGGAGGAACTATATTTGGTTTAGGAGTAATAATATTGATTAGTTAAATCTTCCATAACAACTGAAAATAATAATAGTAACAATAATGATGATAATTTTTAAATAAATGATATTTTATTATTGCTATTAGACTAACAATTAGGCAATAATAACGTTACAATAATAATAAATAATAATAATAAAAATAAATGATTATTGTAATTATTATATTCTTATAACAATGATGAATAATTGATAATAACAATAATAAATAATAAATAAGAATAAATATAATAACAATATAACGATAATAATAATGATAATGACAATTATAATAATAAATTTTAATAATTCTGATAATTAATAATAACATATAACAATGATAATAATTCGAATAAAATGTTTGATATTTTCCCAATAATATTAAATATTAATTTAAGGAGAAGGGGAATATTGTGATTTATTTTTAAATTTTAAGTAAATTTTGTAATTTACGAAAACCACTTGCATAATATTCAATTCGAAATTTATAGACTCATAAATCACAAATATCAATATTAATACCATTATCAAATTAAACAAATAGTGAATGTTTTACGGATTTCCTGTGGTTCATGGCGATTCTCAGGAAGTGCGTCTAAGGGTCTCATTTTCGTGCCTAAGGAAAAGTAGGTGACCTAAGGGAAAAAGAAAGCATGGTTCTCGACAAGATATACAGTTTACGGTTTGACATTTTCCATGCCGTAACTAAGGAATTAAAGGAATTAAAAAGTGCATTCGCATCCTATAGATACTTATAGCTAGCTCTACTAAAGCGATCGAGGGAAAAAAAGTTCGACCACGACCACTGACTACATTGTAAACGCTTTAACAAAAATTTTAAAATTATTATTAGTATCAGATTCTTGCAAACATTTATATAAATATGATTTTGAATGATACAAAGGAAAAAAAAATATTTACAGAATTATGTCTTTGAAAATTAAAGAATTGGAAAGACCTGCAAATTTTTTATGACAAAAAATAATGAATAATAAGGCAATAAAATATACAAATATAAAATATACATCTATTTACGATAATAATTGGTTTATTTCCTTTTTTTCTTTCAAAAATTTGATGGCTTTTTTTTAAATTGAATTCATTTATAAGAAGAATCGCAGATAGCTAAACTCAAATGAAAAACAATTACATTTTAAAAAAAATGAAATAAATTGAAAAAAAAAAGAATTTTTACGAATCTCAAATATTTCAATAAATAAAAACATTTGCCATACCACAGAAATCACAGATAATCCGCTTCGCTAAGAGATTAATCGTATTATCAACAATTTCACCTAAAATAACCCTTACAAGAAAAAAATTTAATAAATAAATAAGAAGCAAACAAATCACATTTTAAAATTAATTATATTAATGTACTGATTAAAAAATTTCTATGGAATATGAAAAGACAATTTATACAAAATTTTTGCTTTGAATATTCGGTAAAAATTACCAATCATTCTCTCACAATTATCCTTTTCTGCCAGATTTACTAGATAACAATATTTTATTGAGTCTTAAAATGATACTTTTTTAACTTTAAATGAACCTTAAGAAACAACAGTATTCAGTATTCAAACAGTTGATTTCCATTGATTTTAATGGAAAAACAAACGGTTAAAGCATACCATTTCTGCTTACTCTAATTAATATAATATAATAATAAGAGATAATAAGAGATTTAATAAGAGATAATATAATAAGATATTTTAGTATCTGAATTTTTTAATGATAGATTTATGGTGCTGCCGAGACTCTAACTTTCAGCAGCTCCACTACCCTTCTCATTTAAGTTTATTTAATATTAAATTGAATCATATAAAAACTTTTATCAAAGCGTCTATTGAAAAAACGATTATCTAAACAAAAACTATCTAAATATAAATTAGTAAAAAAGAATAAATTAGTCTATAATTTCATTAATATTCCATAATTTCCTCTAAAAACCTTAACCTTACTTTCATTCGAGTCTAAATATTTCAGCTTCGTGACACGTCGGTGGTTTGCCACTGAGAAACTGAATCACGTGGAAATCGAAGAGCTTCATTGGCGATCACCTAATATTAACTGATGCTAAATTATAAATTTATATCTTCTTGCTATCATTAATTTACATAACTACATTTTGGTTTAAAACATTTGTCTAAATAATTTAGCAAATTCTTCGTCCATTTTTCATTTTTATATTGTTTTATTTTTTGCTCATATTTTAACTTATTTTAATCCAAAATCTTCTCGATAAAAAAATATACAAAAAATATATATTGTATCAACTATACTATTAAGTTTTCAAGTTCTCGAAGATTTTAAATTATGGTTTAATTAAAAATTTTTTTTAGTTGATTAGTTCATTAAAGTTTTTTAAAGATTGTAAAAGAAAAATGTATTTATATGAAAAAAAATTAGAAAAAACCTGAGAATGTAAACTTGCTGTGCCTTCTTGTTCATCAAAACCGTTATTTTCAGCCGCAAATAACCGATTTCCATTGATATTAATTCTCTAAAAATTGAATTTTGAGAGAATGTGAAGCTTCATTTATATTTCGCAAAATTTTTTTCATTAAACTATTGTTTCTAGCCTATCAAAAAATCGATTATCTAAATAAAAACAACTACCTAAATATAAATTAGTAAAAAAATGAATAAATTAATACTATCTTACACTACTGACGTTATCATGCGTTTGATTTGAATTATCTTGAGTTGTAAATCTTGCAGTAATCGACTGTACAAGAGATCGAAATCTCGAACGCAAGCTATTAATAAAACCAGAATCACCAATTGACTCATCTGATATATTAACTGAATGAGACGATGAAGAATGAGAAGGAAAAAGGATGCTGCTTGTTCTACTCGCAAATGATTGACCATCTGATGTTAAAATTCTAATAAACATGGTTTTCGCAAAAAATTTTTAATAAATAAATCCCATCAAGATCTAATTTCCAATTTTTCAATCATAATAATTCAGAAAATAAATAAATTTAAAAATTCAAATTTAACTGATTCATTCATCGTAAGTTTTTGTCGATTATTAACAGAATAATTATAGATTTCTGATAAATTTAATTCTCATTTTATACAATAAATAATAAAAGGTAATAAAACTAACACTGAACATTATTATTTGTTGATGGATGAATATGACTAGATGCTATCTAAAAAAAATGATAAAATTAACCCATCTTTTTTCAAAAAAACTTAAACAAAAATAAGAGACGAAAATAAAATAAGCATACCGGTTGCTGATGTCTTAATAAAGGTGCATTTTCACGCGAAGTTGTCGCTAATCCATCTGCTACAGAAGTACTTTGTCGCCTTTCCGTTTCGGAATCTGATGAATCGGAATTACCAGAAGAACACACTTTTCTTTTGCATATTGGACAAACCTTTCGATTTTTTGTTAACCATGGATCAACGCATTTACAGTGATACACTAGAAATAATAATGTTTATGTCTATAAAATAGCACAAGTTTTTTCACATTCTGAACAATTAATTACCATGATTACAAGGCAAAATTCTAATTTTTTCGCCATCGATGAATTCATCTAAACATATAACGCATATACCAGAATCACAATCGCCTGAAAAAATTTAAAATTAATAGAAATCATTGAAATTGGGAATTATATCCAAAATTTTACTGATGAATTAAAGAAATGAATTATTTTCTGCGAAATTTTCGAAAATCAGCAATCAACAACTTTTATAGATATCCTTTTCTTTGAATAATCTTGGAAATAGCATTTTAGAGAACAGAAATTAATGAAAAGAAAACCTCTTTTAAACTTTTTGATTGGTATTTTCTTTAAACTACCTTTAGATAACCGTTTTCTTGCCAGTAATCTTCGTTCACGACATAATCGAATTAACTAAACTTCTAATGTTGAAAAATTTTATAATTTCTCTCGTGAAATTAAACTTTCAAAATTTTCCTTTATCTATAAGACAAAGTTTTCCCGAAAAAATTACGAAAAAATACCAGAGAAACGAAGAGAATAACGAAGCAAAATGCGACAACTGCAATAAACGGAACGAGATATTTTAACAAATCAAAATATCCAGGTATTGACCTTATAGCGACCACATAACTGAATATCAATTTTTCCAGAAAAAATTGAAACGTTCAAATTATTACATTATTTCAATTTTTATAAATTTAATAAATTTTGCAAAAAAACTAAATACAGACCCATTTCGCGAGGGATACTGTTCCATAATATTAATCATGCAAGATTCACCAATCATTATAACTGGTATAAAAACTTCATCAGCAAATTTATTACCAGCCATGTGTATTGGAGGACCTCTATTATATATAATAATACCTTGATATGGTTCTGGCTGCGCTCTTTGTACATGATAAGCCTGGAAAATTTATAAATCAATGAAAAAATATAAATTATAAAGCTCATTGCCATAAATTTCTTAGAGAGAAGTGATCAAAGAATAATGTCCAGAAATCCTACCTATATTAAATCCTACATTTTATAATTTCGTTAAAAAATTTTACCTAGTTATTGTTTTGAAAAAATATCTATCAATTGTTGTTAACTGCAATCAATGTAGTTCTTTGCTAACCTTTTCAGAAAAACTACAATTTCCTCGAGGAACCATAGCGAAATTTTGAATACAAATTGTACCATTATCTCGTTGAAACTATAATTTACCATATAATTCAGAAATTATAAAGTGAAATGAAAAATGAAATTCAGAATTAAAATGTGCAAAATTTATTCACAGTTATTATATATCTTTTCTTAGACTAAAAATTATAATTTATTGTTAATTTAATTTATTTAAAAACCTGCTTCGGAAGAAATCGACTTATCTCAAATAATTTTTTTACTAGTTCATAAATGATTGCTTTTTATTACATTATTGGCTAACTTAAAAAACTGGTTCATTAATCGACTAAAATTAGCAATGTCTTATTAATTACGCTGATAAAAAAGAATGAAATTCAAAATGAAAATGCTGTTTATCTTTATAGATATGCAAATAAACAATTCGCTTACCATCAGAATTACTATTCATCAACAACAAAAGTATAAAAAAATTATTAAGAAAGAAATAATTTTCTAGCTCAAAAAAAGTTTTATTGTTTTAAAAAATAGATTAAATAATAAAAAAGTGCAATCAGGTAAGGCTTACGGCAGTATCATGACAAGCATTTTGAGGTGTTGTAAAATAAGGACATCCAGTTAAATTATAACCACGACTTGATGACGATATATCGAAACCAAAATCGGCACCTGTCGCATCACAACGATATACAATTCGATAACCAGTGAATGCTTTTTCTAACTATAATATAATATACTTCAGCAGAAATTAAAGTATTTTAAAGTAATTCTCTGAAACTTATTTAATGGGCTAGAACAGGAGAAGTGTCCATAAAAGATAGCAAGATTAAATTCTTCTTTGGTTAGAGCACCGTTAATTCATAAAAGGAAACTAATTTCCTGAGTCCTAAGCCATGCGATTTTCGTGAATTCCAGACTTATGGAATTCCAGATTACCCACGTGATTCGCATAATAACGTAATTCAATTCGAGAAAAACTGATATGAAAAAAAGTAGGAAAATAATAAATAATAAAAAAATATAGAAGTGTCAAAGTAATATTTTATCTTCGTGCCTCAAGAATGCTTTTTCATTACGCTCAAACGTTTCTTCTTATCTTCTCTTATCAGTTCTTCCTCTCTACGAATTGTTATTCTGAGATCGACTCCAACAGCACAATCACTTTATTGGTCAACATTCTGATAGGACAGAAGACGCTTTAAAGATGTGAATCGCAAAAGCAAACGCATAAGTTGCCTCCGTCCTTATTCCAAAGCTTTAAATTGCAATATTTAGGGGGTAATTTCAGCCTTCCAGTAAGTGCAACTAGCCAAACCAGCAATAATGAGAGCTGTTAAAAGAAAAAGCACTTTTTTCTTAAGAATTATATAATAAAAAAGAACAAACCACTTCAACCATAAATTGCGCATCACATAAAATAGTTTCAGTGATGAAAATGATAGTTAATATAATCATTACCACTTCCATATAATTCCGTCGAAAATTCATTAGAATAATTAATATAAATATTGAAATAAATAAAAATTGTTCCATATTACAAAATTATATAAATATTCTCGTTATTGTTTTCTTGCAAATCAATAAACATCAGATTAATGAAATTTTGAAGAAAAAAAAATTTCTCCAATCGATTTTTCTCAATTTTCAATTTTTCTAAAAATGCAAATAAATAAAGCCAAAATAGGAAAAGAAATGAAATGAAAAATATGAAGAATCCTTTTGAATGGTCAAAGTGATAAATTTTTATGACAAATTTATGATAACGAAGTGATATAAACCACACCAAAAGATTAAAATTTCTAAAATTTTTCAGCCATAAGGTGACAATTAGACAATTTTTCATTTGTCATTTGGTAACAGAAGCACAAGTGAATTCGCTAGTGAGTCAACTTCTCAGAATTTCTGAAGAACAGTTTTACTCATGCGAGACGTGGAATTTCACCATCAGCACTTAAAATTCAGCAACAATCCACTGGGCTTCCTCTTGATTTCGCAATCTGACTGCTCTCTGAGGACGCCCGGTGCGATGTGCGATCGCGTTCGAACCACTCTCGATTCTCGGTAGCATCATCTGTCATAACGGACGTACCTAATTTGTGAATTTGCAAAATTTATATTTCAAGATTCAGTTAAGATTTAAATACTGTTAAAAATTTCCAAATACTATCAAAGGACGAGCAAAAAACCTGAAACTTTGTTTAGACAAATTTTATTCGCTTAAGATCAGATTATAAGATTGGCAGTGGAACTCATCAGGCTACGAAGCTACCTCTGCACCCATTCCTTCATTCATTTTCCCAGCCCCGCAACTTTCTCATAACCAATTTCTCCACAGCCGTACAGCTATTATCGTCATAAGACCTATGAAATGCACTTAAAACAACAAAAATCAAAACATGAAATGCCAGAAAAATAAAATTTATATCGTAATCATACAATCGTTTTAATACCCAATATTGAAATGATAATAGCACATCCAGTACATGATATTGCCTTATGAATCTTCATACCTAAAGTTCTACATGGCCCTATCTCACGTCTCCCACTTCTTTGGGACCATTCGAATCTTTCTAGAACCTCAACCAATACTTATCGAAGCCGCCGCTCTCGTGATACTATTTTGCAAAATTTCATTAGTACCATTGGCTTCAGTTAGAGAGTGTTGTAACCACTTGACAATTTCCACAGAATTTGTTGTTATCCTCTGCTCCCAAACTCACTTTAATCGTTTTTAATACTCTCACCCTGTTTCTTTATTAAACTCGGTACCTTCTTAGTCTAAGTTAATTCCTGAAAAATGCGACCGACCAGCGCTATTTGGTTACTAATGTGCCCTAGAACTAGTAAAATGTAAAATTTTTCCACTGCGTTAAAACCCTTTATATCCCTCAAAATCTATTCGTCGCTCCCCGTTAAATATACTCTTTACCCAGAAGGAAATATCAACAAATCTGCTATGATTTGAAAGAATTACGAGTTATGCCTAGTCACCAATAAATTGCATCCCACGATGGTTACATCCATTTTTTGAAGGCTATTCTTTACTAAAATCAACCCACTGAAGGCAGTTTAAACGCATAGAGAACCGATACATACTAAAAGCTGGGAATTCTATTTCAGGCACCAGGTCAAGGGGGATAGGGAAACTCATTATCTTGCATTAGTAGACAATGGTACGAGTCCATAAGACCAGCAAAACCTAACCATTAAAAATATAACCCTACCTAGCTTTATGTGCATTTATATTCTCTTTCCTTTTTATCCCTTTAGGCTTCAATGCCTCCTAAATTACCCGATTAGCCTGGCTATTAATTCTCATTATATTTAATATTTTACAATAACAGTATCGTGGCTGAGCGTCAGTTTCATGGAGAATTGTGTAACCTACTTCCTGAGCAACATGGCACGCAGTTGCCATACCATGCGGCTTATCATCTTCCGTCAGTTACACTTTTCAACGATAGAATGCATTTCAAATTTAATAAGTTCTAATATTCTAATTTTTTCCGATCAAGTAGGGATCTTTATTGTAGAAATAAACTTTTTCAATTTAAATCAATCATTATAAATTTTCTAATACTTTCAGTCATATTTATTCAATGAATATGAAGAAACATGGTTATTTTTTGATAAAAGTTTTTCTTCATTTTTATGGAACACGACACGTAATATGCATGGAAGAACTTTTGTGCTCTTGGAGCTGATAAATCATAGGTTAAAATCACATAAGTTGAAATTTTTATCAAATTTAACCATTTAAAAAAATCAAAAATATTTATGCTGAAAAAATTTCAGCCAAAAGGAAAAGCAAGAATTAGCGATTTTCATGATACTGAACAGGGAAAGGGAAAATTACTGATTTATTGCACAAAAAAAGATTGTTCGGTTGTTGGTTTTCTGCGAGATCCCTTGTCCCTTCTCGCTTGTTTTCTGCTTATTGCACTTCCTTGCCAACAATTTGTTCTAGTCTTCTTTGACCTATCTTGATTGGTGAGGTAACAGATAACCTACAAGTAAAAAAACTTTTGGGTGAGTGATGATGGTTTAATGGTTTACACATTGAAATTCTAGAAATTACTTTCCCAATTTCTTTATGTGAATTACTGAAATAACGATAATCTAAAAATTGACAGATTAATATATGGAAGATCGCCCAAACGATTCATCAAATAATTAATTATTCCTAATATATCACTCAAAGTTCATCGAATTTGTAATATCTAGGACGTGTGTTCAGGGGCAAACCTTACCATTCGACCCAAATCTCAAGTTTCACTTTCTTTTTCTTCTTCTTTTAACAGCTCTCACCACTATTGGTTAGGCTGGCTCCAACGGTTATAAGGATAAGACGCTTCCAAGCGGCGCGGTCGTTGACAATAATGGAAGCCATTCCTTTTTCCATCGTCTAAGTCCATATATTGCTGGTCCATCTATACATTTCTTTTCTCACCGTATAAGTCCAGGTCTTGATTGGCCTACTTTGCTTTTGACGCCAACCATCACACGGTTTAGCAAATAACGAAATATGCGACTTATCAACTCCTGTGGTGGACGACGGAGAATGTACCTTAACCAGCGAAGGCGGCGCTCTGTGATAACATTATTTATGCAAGTGGTATTTGAACGAAGATGGATGCGATCTTGCGATATTTTATCTGCTCGACTTTAGGTTTCACTTTAGATTAAAAACAAAAATTAAAAAAACAAAATTTTGAATAAAATCACCCGTGATGATCAAATATTTTCGGATAATATTGCAAACTTTTGATATCACCAAGTAATGGATTATGGATCTTCTTTAAGAATAAACTCATTCAAGAATGGGGCCAATCCACAGTTTTCGCTACTGATTTATGCAATAAAGTTTAAACCTATAAGATCGCCGTAGAGTTCGCGTAGTTTACGGCTTTAGAAGTCCAAGGAATAATTACAAAATTCTTTTTATTTCCCATGAATCCTCAATGAAGGAGAGAAAAGGCTAAACTGGACCAAAGCGGAAGGATAATCCTGGTAATATCCAAAGAGAAAAAGAATAAAAATCCATTTATATCAATTCCACAAAATAAAGTGATTTTATCAGCTCTTATTATCGCTATTTAATGAATGTTTAGGTATTAAAAGAGCGTTAATTTTTTTTAAATTTTTCGCCTTTTTTATAACTTTTATCAGTTGAAAAAATTCGAAATCTGTAAATTAATTGATCATAAGATCGATTAATAACCTTAAGAAAAATAACGAATAAAAATCAATAAACCTGATAAAAATCAAATTTCAACCGTTTCAACCGGTTAACAAATGTATTTCCTATTACAGAGCGCCGATGCTGGAGTTTTACTCATTAATTCGATGCACTTGAAAAATTTTGCATAAAAAAAGTGGAATGGCTAAGTTAAATTGTTGTTCACAATTTTGGAGCAACGATGCTGAAATTCCACTTCCGGCACAATTAAACCTGAAATCGAGGTAACACTAGCGACTCAATCTTAATTCTATCACTAACGCTTACTCACAATGTTTTTCTAATCTGATCAACCATTGAATATTATCAAAAGTAAAGAATTTTTAGTAATGAAAAAGACAAATTTTTATCAAGTGTCAAAAAATTTAAAAAATTTTTTCGAATTTTATGAAAAACAAAATCATCCACAAGAAAACAAACTTTGTAAAGTAAAATTCAATAATTTTTCTAAAAAATCCGAAAAATTTGCAAGAAAAACAAAAAAATGAATAAAACCAACCATTTCAAGAAACAAAAGCGAATTTCAAAATAGTTCAACTGAACTGATATATCGATGAAATCATTTAACTGATCAGCCTAGACTGATTTTAACGATTCTTCTAAGAACACTTTTATCTCTAAGTTATTTTCCTATCAATAAAAATCATTGAGTAAAAGAAAAAGAAGTGGATTATATTGCTTGAGCTATGGTGAAAGAGCTCGAGGTCCTACT